TATACTTTTATTTATTTTGCTCAAATAAGTTTTATTGCGGTGTGGTTGTTTTTCGACTAACTGTGCAGCTAAAGCATTCCTAAAATGCATTTGGGATTTCTTCCTGCTCCCTAGCTCCTCGAGTTTTGGAGCCCATATCACAGAAAAATTCATTTTCTTGGATGTTTTGAAATGAGTTTGCTCTAGTATCAAACATTGTTCCAAACATATCATTCTCTCTCCAGTCCGTAAAGCACTGAGACGGCCTTTCATTTATTTAATTTCAAATGAAAACAGACAAATTATATATTTTTCAGTGTCAGGAACAAAAAGCAGTAAACAAACATTTAACAGAAAATGAAACTGACAAAATTTTTAGTATTTAGTGTGTCCACACTTTACCTTTATTACAGCTTCCATTCTTTTTAGAGACTTGCTTTGTTTTTCAGAGAAATCTGCAGGAATATTTTTGCCCAACTCCGAAGTTCAGTATTAGACGTTGGTTGCATTTTTTGCTTCTCATGATCCATGTAATCCCAAATACATCCAGTGATGTTGAGATCTGGACAGTATTGTTGGGTGGCCAGTCAGTTGTTTTGAGATTGCCAGCAGCTCTCACGGATGAAAGCTTTAAGTGCTCACCTTTTAGAGTCTCATTTTCCCTGTATCTTACCATTTTTTGAACTTGAACAGTTTTGGAAATTCTTGTTTTTTTTTCTTATTTTCTTCTGACTTTCCACCCCCTTTTGAAAGTGGATTATGTTATAAATTAAATAAAGGAAAGTTGGTTTCTGACTTTTGCACAATACTGTATGTGGAAACTGAATGGAATGTTTTTGTGATGTCACGAAACTTAGTGTCACAAAGCCATCATGTATATTACACATATCTGCTCATTCAGCCTAGGTACGTGCATTCATGCTGAAGTTATAAGGGGTGTTTATAAGCGGCTTTTTGAAAGGTCAACAGAATTAATTTATATATATCTGACTTAAAGGGGTAGGCTACTGATTTTTCAAAATTTCTGCATAAGATGTAAGATGTAAACAAAGTTATTCAGAGTGGTTTGATATGAAATATTTTGTAGAAAATTAGTGTCAGAACTGGTTACAGTGGTGGCGATAGGTCTGAAGATTTTAATGCCTCTAAAAGCTACATCACAGAGAAGTATTACATGAAATATTTATGAATACACTGCCTTATGCCCAAGACATTGTTTCACAAGGTCCCCAAAGAAAACTTTTTTTTTCAGATTTACCATTGTTTTACTATGATCGGTATTACATATAAAACCTCGGAAGATGCATAGGTTCACTGGTGGTTTTGGATAGTAAATAAAATGGCTATATTTGTGTTGTAGACATTATGACCCCTGGTTCCTGTTAGCACTACTGTAATGAAATCTAAATTTGATTTTACATCAAACCGTTCTGTATGACTTTGTTTATATCTCACAATGGTTGAATTAACCGGAATTTTTGACACTGTAACAAAAACAGCCTGCTTAACACTAAGAGATAAAGAAAGACTTTAAAATGGTCATGATAGTTAGAATGAATAATGATTGTTTTTAGTACATAAAACCATGCAAATGCTATAAGTGGACTTCTGGGAAAAAATTAAAAACCAAAAAGTTGTAAGATATGGGCCCTTTACTCTCAGCGGTGTGTTTTGGGCGTAAGTTGAAGTAGGTTTCTATGATTTCTGTCAGTGATGTGCTTTGTTATACTGGCGTATGGTTCTCTTTTGCTTTGGCTTCAGCATGCTCCAGTTCTTGGCCTGTAAGGCAGTATAGCTTGGGTGTGTGTGCATATGTGTGTGTGTGTGTGTGTGTGTGTGTGTGTGTGTGTGTATGTTGGCTGGAGACTTCACCTCCTCTCATTCTCTGCCCTCACACTCTCAAAGTTACACAACTTCCAAAGTGCCTTAGTCACCCAGGCCAGATACCAGCTCTGAACTTAGCCTCATTATTCTCTCTCTCTCGCTCTCTCTTCTTACACACACACACACACACACACACACACACACACACTGTCTGGTACAGATCACTGGACTCCTCAGATCAATGGATCTGCTCACATTACGCCCACCTATCACTTATTTTCTCAAATGAATTGTTCTCTCACTCCTTTCCCTCTCTCTCTTTCTCACTCACTCTCTCTCTCGCTCTCTTTCTCAAGAGTCAATCAATGCCACAGGAGTCGGATTCACTGAGCAGTGTTAATTTGGTGATTTAGTTCGTTTGTATAGATCAAACTGCAGAGCAGTGCTCTGTAAAACAATTAAGATCTCTTTCACACTCACACACACGCACATACACCACGCTCACAGAGAAGGTCACTCTTATGAGCTGGGAAACTTGCCATACTTGAACTTGGCTTTCAAACACACAGTTGGGTCAGTTAAATGCCATTTTCTTCAGATATCTAATCTGTATCTGAGCTCTTTGTATATTGTCTCATCTCAGAGAATCAATTTCGAAACCATGTTTTGGAGCCACTGGTCACAAAGCAACTTGGCTTAACCAAGACAGATGGACAGAAAGACAACAGAGCTGCAAGATGTAGGCACACCATTAGTATTCCGATTATATTGCTTCTACTGTAATTCAGTCAAAACGGCCATTAGGTTTTTAATTTTTAGCATCAGGGAAAAAGGCAGAAAACATATATTGGACAGAAAAATTACACAGAAGCCTCCACAACTAGATATAATACGAAGTTGTCCACATTTTGCATTTATTACAGGCTTCATTCTTTTCAGGACACTTGCTTTCTGCAGGGATATTTTTCCACACCTCCAAAGTTCAGTCTTACAGTTTGGTTGTCAATAGAAACGCCTGTTTTTTCACTTATTTTCCTGTGACTTTACCCTTCTTATGTAAGTGGATTATTTTATATCTGACATCCTTAGAAATATCTGCTGAAAAGTGAATATCTTGAACTTTATGGCTGTTGTGACTGGAAATTAAATAAATGAAGGGTTTTGCACAGTTCTGTATATTAAAACTACTGTAAATTAAAATGTATTAGCGAATCATTGATGTGCCCTGTGATGGATTGGCGAACTGTCCAGGGTGTTTCCTGCCTTCTGCCCATTGACCGCTGGGATAGGCTCCAGCTCCCCCCGTGACCCAGAAGGATAAGGGCTTAGAAAGTAAATTCTGTAGCCCCAGTAAATAGATACATAGGCAGATCAATAGGCATAATATATTTGATGGATGCTATAGAGCCAAGGTTGTTATTTCTTTGTACTTAAAAGGTGCCATTGATTAGTCAGCTGAAAAGCCACTGGACACAGCTTAGAAGTCGGTAGAATCGTTTGAAGTTGTCTTCACTGCTTAAACGTGGAGTAGCTCAAAGCAACTTGTTGATGTTATAGCTGTTCTGAGCTGTTCTGAGGCTGGTGTTCACTGGGATCAGTCAGTGTATTATGTCACATGGCATTTGAATCCTATGTAGCAGACGTCCTGTTCACTGCTCACCACACCAGGAATCAATCTGACAATTCCCATACAGGCCAGTGAACTGATGCAGAGTTTGTGGGGTGTGGGGGTCTGAGGGTGGTGGTAGTGTAAGATGCCATGAGTTTAAGTGATATGGTTTTAGTCCAGAAGAGAAAAAGGAAGTGAGACTGTGTTAGAATGTACAATACTGCTCAAAAGTTTGGAATCAATTTTGTTGCAGAAAAGTGATTGTAATAGGCTCATCCTGTGCAGCTTCACAGCTTTTAGATCATTATTAGGATGCCAGGAAGCTGTAAATAAAAATGAAGAAGTATTATTTGTGTCCAGAATGATGCACAGAGCCGTAGAAGATTCTAAAATGACTGATAAAGCTGTATAACATAGAGGATGGAGTTACAATAAAATTAATATCCAAATTTCACCATACGTATGCAGAAATACAGCAACACAGCAGAAGCACACTAATGCCATCTGTAGCCTCAGTTTCTAAAATGACGAAATACAAAAAGAACATTGTAAAAGTGGAAAGTGTAACTCATAATAATTCATTGCCTTCAATTACCAACCATTCTCTGTTGTTGAGGATTCTGTTTGCAGCATGTCCTGAAGCCCACACACTGTAATAATTTTAGTAAGTTAATTTTATGTAAAGTGTTTTTATTTATTGTCAGCTTTTTTCAGTTTTTTGCCCACTGTGTACTGAGTTCCAGTTTTAGCCAAAAATATTCATTTCGATGTATCTCTACATATTTAATTATCCTAAAATAACTTGTTGTTCAGAGAATTCTTGAAATATTGAATAAAACATCTAAAAATATTTCTTGGTTAATAGTTTGTAATTTTAAAATCCATATGGTTTTAATTATTATTGTTGCTTTATATAGTAAACTTGTTACCATGGAAAGTGATTTCAAACTTTTGAACGCTAGTGTACATGTTTATGTCTGTGAATGCCTGTCTGTTGTGTGTGGGTGGATTTGTGTTGACATCTGTGCATGTGTAAGTATGTATGTGCGCATACATGTGCGTGTGTGTGTGTGGACCGTCAGCTCTCAGCCCAGCTGTTTTATAATGACATTTTTATGAGCTGGAGGAAGATCAGGAGGTTGTAGCGATTCTCGGCTGAATGTAATTTGCCTCTGGCTGCAGGTAATGCGCATTAGCTCCAGCCCTTATGCAGGGATTTGCACACACTAATTAATTTGTCACAAGTCATTTTTTTTACCGCTGGTACTTGATTAAAAACAATATTAATTCAAATTAATTAGATTCCTAATTGAAAATTGGAGGGACTGAATGGTCAGCACTGGCCAAGCTGGTGTCATTAACTCAATTTGTGCTTTTGATTTTCATGTACAGTTTTGTTGAGTACTTTGTTATAAGTATAGGCCTATAACAGTGGACGACTTTTGGCTTGATTGTGAATTGGAATAGATTCTAAAGTCAGAATAGATGAAGTAATACAATCATATGGACAAACAAGGTTCTGTCCCGACAGCAACAGTGTACCATATTTGAATGCCATTCACTGTGTTTGTACGTTTTCTATGCATAGGACCCATGCAGGAGACTGTGATTGACTTCTGGAGGATGGTTTGGCAGGAGAACACAGCAACCATCGTCATGGTTACTAACTTGGTGGAAGTTGGAAGGGTGAGTACACAGTACATGGCATCTGTAGTTTAGAACATGACACAGGTCAGTCATAAAAGACTATGTAGCTTTTAAACACTTGGAGAAACACTGGTTTCTCTAGCTCAATACAGTTACCACAGGCACTGAAACTGTAATGAGTTGGCCCAGTTGGACAGTTGCGTTCCCGTAGGATTCTTTGCTGGTGAAGTGATACATCTCGAGGTTCTTCTTTGTGAACTGAGTGGGAACTAATCATTGTGGATCATTACCACACAAGCATGAAATAGCTTTTTACTCTGCCTCTTGCATGATGACCAGATCTCCAGACCACTGAATCTAGATCCTAATGAGCCATCTTGTCAATGAGAGGACCATCACTTCTGAAAAAATATAACACTGATGCCCCTACAAACCTGTGGGAAATCCAGAAAAAAATAAAAGGGATGCCTTGATTACGTTGTATGCCGCTAGTCCTGATGTAGTTCATTTACTGTTCAGTATCTGTCAATCATGCCAGTATGTGTATTTGTACTATCGTCAGTAATTTGTAGTTGTACAGCTGCGCAGTGCACACTTAAAGTGGAGTAAGCTCACTCAGTTACAATATGCTAGTCTTCCTTAAAGTCCTATAATTAATTAACTTAATTTTTGTTGCATAATGTGACATACTAAACTAATACATATTGTTTTTTTGGACTACTTTTTTTTCTTTTATGGCATCTTGAATACAGTATTCCAATTACTCTAATATATCAAGAGTAGTAGTTCCCTTAGCTTTGTGTGTTGTTACTCTTACCACTAATCAGTGCTGGGGTATTTACTCAAATTATAATCCATTACAAATGGATGAAATGGTATCACTTTACTTTATGACAGTGGCATAAATAGAGTGCAGTGAGGTAAAATAGCCCTTTAAAAGGATAAGAATTTGATCCGTCAGTAAAGATGAGTTCTCAGTTCAGTAAATGTTACAGAATTTCCCCACTAGTTGAGACTCTTTCCATCACACATTTTCTCCTCTTATACCCACTTATGGGTGGCTGCGGCTTTGCTGGGGGTGAAACTCACAATCACCTCTTTGGGTGATGGCTTAGCCTGTGGCACCACTCAGGAGTGCCTGAAGTTACTCAGACTTTGTGTTCATAAATGTTTAATATACTACTGAAAATATTGGTTGTTTTAGCTTTGCAAAAGTAGCATGGTCACATGTGGTGTAACTGTCTAACAGTTCAAACCATTATCAGGAGATTGTAATTCGAAATCCAGCTGTCCATATCTGGAAGTCCAAGAGGAGAAAATATCTGATGGGATTGTGTGATAGAAAGAGTTCCAGCTAGTGGCGAAATTAAGTTAAAAAACTAATTCTATATTTCTAGTTCTATTTTTTAACCGTAATGCAGGAGAGAGTTGGGAGAATGAGTTGGGGAAACTAATTCCTCAAGTTAACTCAAAAAAGCAGCGTAATCAGTCACCTTATAATTTTAAGTTGAGCTGACTTGACTTGACATTTTTTACAGTTTGTCTTTTTTTGTCTGTGAAGACATTTTGAGCTGCATTATATGTATGAAAGGCACTATACAGATAAATTATTCTTATTATAATCTCAAAGTCTCAAAACTACCACCAGCATCTTTCTCAATCTTATCCCATATTTCAGCATCAGCCTTGGAGCTGGCTGGCTCTCCCTCCCCTGGCGAGCAAGTGGTGGTCCGGCTTGGCAGATGTGGCTTGCTGTAGGCTGCAAGTGCCAGGCTAGTGTGTGATACTGATCTAATGCTGGCTGCAGTGCTGGAGGAGGCTGATCTAATGCTGCCTGTTGGCGGCGGGTAGCTGGCGGCTGGTGGCGCGTGTGTCGGGGAGGGAGGGCTGCCGAGTCTTTCCCACAGAGAGCCATAAACCCACCGCTGCGTTCCACTGCCGCCCATCTGCCTCCATACCGCACCAAGGCACTCAGGGAGATGTGCTGCAGATCAGATGAGCCCTGCAGGGGAGAGGGGGAGAGGGACGGGGGGAGCACAGAGAGGGAGTGAGTAAAGCTAGAGGAGGAAGAGAGGTAGAAAGACAGAAGAAGATGAACTCTGGAGGATGTCTTTTTGAAGCAGACAAACTGAAGACATTGTAAGGAGAAGGGGCAGAATATTCTGATGCATAAAAGAAAGCTACAGTTTGAAGGAAAGTCATTACTTTTGTTACTATTATTTATATTACTATTATTTTTTGATTCATTTATTGATAAAATTAAACTTAAAATTATAATGTAACTGATTACTTAGCTTTTCTTGGTTTAATGATACATTGTAGAGCTTTAATCAGGCCTGATATTTTGATCAGAACCCATATATAGCCTGACAATATTGTGTCTGGACCTGACACAGCCCACAACAAACCAAACCCAAACTCAACTCTGAGAAACCTGACAGTGAAATTTCAAGATGACACAAGTACATTGATGTTACGGTACTAGGCCTGTTACAGTTATTATATAATCACCAGATTGCAATTATTTTGCAATGTTTTCTTTTACAGTCCTCTAAGTTCTAGGTTTTAGCCAGGTAAATGTGAGGTGCGAGCTCTAAAATACTAGGTGGTTATTTTGGGTAACATGATGGTAAGTGTTGACTAAATTACAATGAAATGACTAACAGATTCTGGGTATTAATTAAGTAAGTATGTGGTACGAACTCCACAGTACTGTGCAATCATCATAAAATGTTCCAGGATGTCATTGGATATAAAAAGATTGTACATGAATAAAGCACTAAGAATCCTACAATGTAAGTATATCACCTGTAAACAAAACTGAGTCTGGGCTGTAAAATACTTGTTATGGTTTCACTGGATCCTTTCCATTTACTTCAGAAAAAATTTGTGCCATCATTTTACGCTACATAACTTAGCCGGTACTTAAAGGTGTTCTGGATTTACTGCTTAAATGTGTGACATTATATAGAAGTTTAATGTATGTTTGTACTGCCCACCTTATTACTCTAAATATTTATGAGATATTTTACTGCAGCTTAATAGCTAGAATCTGTTTGGTGTTTCAGTGTAAATTAGTTAGACTGCCTTGGAACTTACCATCATGTAATAATACGTGATGGTAATAACTGTCTAGTACACGTCATGTACCTTATGGAACAACATTCTAACTTCTGACTGGTGCTATAACACCTTTAGAGGGCAGTGGTCAGTAATATTTGTTTATTTGATGTTTGTTAGTAACACCTTTAAGGGACAGTGGTGAGTACCGTTTATATTTTTAGAGCACATGCTGTTTCTCTCATCAGTTGGGAGCTACTAGGTGTCAACAGCTAGAGAGAAAATCAGCCAGTTTGGCCACTTTAAAGGGCCCTTATCACATAAAAAACAAATTTCTTTGCTTATTTTTAATAAAAGAGTTCGGGATAGAATACAATCTATATAAAGTGTGCTGTAAAAACAGCTTGTTTTAAATTCATAGTTTTTTAATGTCAAGGTAACCAACATATTTACATACATACACCTATATAGCCTATACCTCTTTAGCCTGACTCATTTATGTTGATGTTGTGAGGAGTGTTTCAGCCTGAACTGCTTTTTGAAAGAGGCACAATACAGGGCAGCCAGTTAGAACAGAGCACATTTACATATATATAAATATATATATATATATATCAATCTTAAAGGCACAATACAGGTGCTGTTTAATTCTAAAGGACAAAGAGAGTTTGGAAAATGGTCATCTCTGTTTTTGGTACATTAACTCATATACACATATGTTATAACAAAAAGAAGGCAGTTAAACTGTTAACCACAATAATTTATATGGGACTTATTCTTTAGCTAAAATTGTATGCCTGAATGGTACCAGTGCTGGCTCTAGTTTCTAGTTAAAAGTACAGGATTGTATATATAGTTAAATATAATATGGTATAGTCAAAGTATTACTGTTAATATGTTTAGCTGTCTGTACAGTATGTGTATATGTATTGACTAATTAATAGATTAGGTTACACTACGCTGTGATTTAATGTAGTCATGCCAATAAATCTTCTTTTAGTTGAGGTGAAAGAGAAAGAAATAGAGAAGGGTGACAGTGATAGAGATCTTCTATGATAGGAGAGTGAGTGTATGTATCTGATTTTCTCCATGTGTAGCCTATGATATACACATCACTGCATTAGTAAGCCAATTTGTTCGACCATTTATGATTGTGCATGCACGTCTACACGGTCCATAACCCGCCTACCTCACATGCACACACATCTTCCACCCACCCACACACATGCTTCCTCTTAATTGATGGAATAAAATAATGGCTGTGGTCTAATGTAATCTCAGCGGAGATTGAGCGAGAGCGGTACGGGATGAGGATTTCTCATCTCAAGTGTCACCAAGGGACCTCAACTTCTGCTCTCCTCCCCCTCGAGTGTCCCTCCATCCTCCAATCTCATTTCCAGCCTTAATGATGCCGGAGAGCTACCAAGGACAGATTGAATCTTGCCGCGGCGCTGTGTGTTTCTTGTACAAAAAAACAAAACAAAAGAAAAACTTGCCAGACGTAGTGCTGTTTTCTGCTGCCACTGTTCTACTAAGTTCGAATTTTAGACATTCTGTGCAGCTGTCATAATTATCTTACCGGATTTCAGTTTTCAGATTTAATTGTGTCATGTATGTCAGCGTATTGTTTGTCAGTGTAATATTACAGCACAGATAGGCTGCAGGTGTGAGCTCAGGGTATTGGATGTCATATGAGGAAGCAGCAAAGTCATTTAGTGGAACTTAACGTGAGAATGAGACAGCATTAAAGTGTGAATTACCTTCTTGTCGATACCCGAGAAATCTATTAGCAGATTTTGCTAGAATTAAAGGGAAAAAATTGTACCCTGTCAGGCTCATCTGCACCTGAGAAGAAAAATGATAAGAGCCAAGGCTGACTTGCTAGATGTTAGGCAGATTTTTGGTGCTGTAGCTCCATTCTTGAAGTCTTTGTAAGTAACTGGTAAGCTTTTATTTTGTTGTTTCTTCCATGTTTATCAGTGTGGACTAGCTGCAGTTTGAGTAATTTCTGCATACGGTTGCTGCAAGTGAACAGTTCATTTGTAATGTGACTGGTTAAGCTGTCTGTAAGCTGTCTGTTTGGACTTGTTTATTCCTGTGCCCAGTACTGGTGGTTTGCATTGTTATTATCCACTGATCTGGTCATGTTGTATACAGATAGGTAGACCCTTAAAAATTAGGGTGTCTAAATTGTTCTTTGCCTGGATATACAATTCTTCAGGTTCTTTAGGATACCAGAATTGATTCTTCAATGTCATCATTCCAAAGAACGCATTTAGGTTCCATTCAGCAATTTTTAAAGAATGTAGACAGACAGACAAATAGATAGATAGATAGATAGACAGACAGGTAGATAGGCTTTGACATATGGTTTTAGATACAACCTTTAATTGGTATTAAACCTTTACATTATGGTCAAGTTCTTACTTCGTACTCACATAACTCATTTATAACAATAAATTACATTCAATGAAAGGTTCTTTAAGGAGTCAGAAATTCTTCTTCAATAGCATCACTCCACAGAACGACATTGGATAGAGAGGTTCTTAAAAATAAAGTTTTTAAAATGGTTCTTGGACATATGGCTCTAGATGTGACCTTATATTAGTATCAGACCTTTACATTATGCAGAGGTTCCTTAGACTTCAAAGAGGTTATTCACATTTCTGCATGTCTTTTATGAAGACGATTGGTAAAGAATCATTCACTGATAGGTTCTTTATGGAACCTTAAGTGTTTCTTTTTAACCCACTGAACCCTTTTTGGTTCCATTTTCACACTTTTTTAAGAGTGTAGGTAGATAGATAAAAAAAATTAGGTGAAAAAATATGTCAAATAGGCTACGATTCTAGAGCATGTAAACTGGATAGGTTCCAGGAGTTGTTCTAACGTAGGCATCAGTGGCCTACATTACTGTTCTATCTCATTGTTATCTTTGACTGTTAAAAAATGAGTCTCCAAAAACAAACTGTACAGAGAAGGAAGTTTTTCAAGATCAGTGTATTTTTAACATTTTAAGATAAAAGAGGCTGTGGTGACACAGAAAGAAATGTGCCTTATAGTGCTCGCTGTAGTTGAAGCTATGAATTCCTTTCCTCCTGTCTTCTTAACAGTCCCTAATGCCCAGATTTTAATTGGACACAGTGCCAGTCCTAGCCTTCCCAGGGCCCTAAGCAAAACCGCCTCTCTCCCCAACATAAATCACATATCTACCTCCTCTACCAATGTAACGTTAACATTAAACTTTTACACACATCTCTTAAATCCCCTTACAGTAATCATTAATCATAATGTTAACACAATAGTTTGTCCATTTATTTTTACTTACTTTGATGAACAAAAATGTTCATTTAGAACATTCAGCTTTTCTACATTTTCTTATGGCAAAGTCATCAAGAATGTTAATGCTCATGATGGCACATTCTCTCAAATGCTCGTGGGACACTGACAGTTTGAGATAGGTTTCTTACTTTGTCAACAACTCAACAGTAGTTTTTTTAGCTAGCTATCTTCGCCTCAAAGCCTTCTATACAGGGCACAACTCACAAGTCACAAAAGTATGACCTTTACACACAAATAATGCATTATACATATGTAGAAAGCTGTGTATCCTTTGACTAAAACACAAACGACTTTAAATGTTGTATATTTTGTGTTATTTGGGCTGTAGCATTCATAATTTTATCTACCTAATGCACTACATGGAGAATTTAGAGACATTGCAGGTTCAGGGGATGGTAGAAAGCTTTCAGACATTTTTGATCACACACTCACAATTTAATGAGATGAGAGACAATAATGATCACCCCCAACCCCAGAACCTCCCCAAATTTTTGTTCCAACTACCTGGCTTCTCTAGTTTGCTCAAACTGGCAGCAGAAAGTTTAGACAATTGAAACAAATTCCAGGGGAGGGTTTTTACTTTCTGGACCTGGATTTCTCCCCTCTGCGTCTTGTTTTCTCATCCTACCATCAGCAGTTTTACTGTCGTTTTTCAGCCCCCGATTGGTAATGGCTGTTTGAAGCCGTCCTGTCACGTATGCCGCTCCAAAGTCCGTATAAATGACAGAAATGTAATGTAACTCATTGTTGTTATACATGCCAGTCGCAGTTTGACTGAACATCACAAAAATTGTTTAGGCCTCTTGGTATGCCCTGCATGCTTAAGAATTGTATAATAGGCCTATCTAATGAAAAATACATTGTTGCTATGGGAGCCTCCCTTGGCAGGTGGGGGCTCTACGCAACTTGTATAGTTTGCGTACAGGAAGAACCTGCACTGACTGAGCTCATGTTTTGTTTCAGGTGAAATGCTGCAAGTACTGGCCAGATGACACAGAGATCTACCGAGACATGAAGGTGACGCTGATAGAGACCCAGCTCCTTTCTGAGTATGTCATCAGAACATTCGCTGTAGAAAAGGTGAGAAAAAAAGCACATCATCTTTAGTGAGAGCCCACTCAAGAGATTAAACGCTGCTATAGAACCACTGTGCCACAACATATGCAGTCTAGTTACTTTATGACTTTGCAGCAAACTCAACCAGACACACTCATTTTTAATCAAATCACACATGTTCTATCTAGTATTGCTTTAGAGGAAAGTCTTTGCACACCAAACTCTATTTCTTCTTTGATTCATTTTTAATCTTTTTTCAAGTCGCAAAATGGAGCAGCACAAAGATAACCTAGCATTTTAGTCTATTATCTTTGGTCTACTGGTTGGCGATATGGCAAAAATAGAACATCATGATACTTTACATTTCAGCTGTACATGATACATAGTTTTTCAAAGGGTTAACTCTTAATAGGTTTTTCTCTTATTAGTTCACAGCATGTCAGGATTTTAATTTGCGATATCCCAAATATAGGGAGAACTTTTAAACAGCTATGCCTCTTCACAGCCTCAGCCAAATCTCATGTATTTTTGGCAGTGTTCTGAAGATATCAATAATGGGCTTAGTAAAGCTTTTGATGTAATTTATTGTGATACCAATATCATATTGTCATATGGTCATATGGACTGAATTTGTCTTGTTTCGTAGAGGGGGGCCCATGAGATCCGGGAAATTCAGCAGTTCCATTTCACAGGCTGGCCAGATCACGGTGTGCCCTACCATGCTACAGGCCTGCTGGGCTTCATCCGCAGGGTGAAGGCGAAATCACCTGCCAATGCTGGCCCTATTGTGGTCCACTGCAGGTAGTAGATCACTCTGTCATCATGGATAGAAGTTTTTGGTCCTTGCACTAGCAGATTGCTTCAAATCATGCAAACCACTGTTCTCCAAGGCTAGACCTGGGAGGCCATGCCATTGTGCATTTATTGTTTTCTATGCTCTAATACACCCCATTGAGCTAATGAGGGGCTTGATGATTAGGTAATGAGTTAAATCAGGTATGTTAGATCCAGGAAGAAAGGGGGAAGGTACTAAACTGTTTGGTGACCCCCTAGGACTGGAATTGGCTCTTGTGGCTTATATGGTGGCGGCACGGTGGCGCAGTGGGTAGCGCTGTCGCCTCACAGCAAGAATGGCCTGGGTTCGATTCCCGGCCGGGCGACCAGGGTCATTTCTGTGTGGAGTTTGCATGTTCTCCCCGTGTCTGCGTGGGTTTCCTCCGGGTACTCCGGTTTCCTCCCACAGTCCAAAGACATGCAGTCAGGCTGATTGGACACGCTAAATTGCCCATAGGTGTGAGTGTGTGTGTGAATGTCTATGTCTGTCTGTCTGCCCTGCGATGGACTGGCGACCTGTCCAGGGTGTATCCTGCCTTCCGCTCAATGACAGCTGGGATAGGCTCCAGCACCCCACCGCGACCCAGAAGGATAAGCGGTTTAGATGATGGATGGATGGATGGCTTATATGGTGTAAATGCATATTTTATAGAGTTGTAGCAATGCACATATTTTCAGGTTCTGAGGTCAAGATCGAATTCATTTTTTGATGTTTTGTGTGTCAGAAATTTTACAGGCCTGTAATTATATAGTACACAGGTTGGTTTCACTCAAAACAGTACAAACACAAAAAAAGATCACAAAGTGACATGTCCTTGTACAAATTAGTGCTCTTATAAAACAGTGAAACTGAGCCATAAACAGAACAAAATGTACAGTGTGCGCCCATTTTTTATTACTGACAGCGGCTTAAATAAATGTTTCAACAGACTACTGTAAGTGTTCTTTTTTTATTTTAGTTTTTTCTTGATGCTCTTAGAATCATTGCACCCTTAATATTTCCTAGAATAAGTTTATTAGCCCTTGTCTTCTCCAAAGATTTTTGTATTTAACATTTTCAAAACTAAAGAATTTAAGGAACAAGAGGAAAAAAATGAATTCTAAAAAAAAAAATAAAATTATATAATGGCATAGTGGACTGACTAATCACTTACTTGCTGCTATACAGTTTATACAGTTACTGTAGAGTGGTTGTCATTGTTTACAGGCTCTCTATAAGTGTTCAAATCTACGTGCAGTTGTTCTATGTTCTAGAAGCATTAACAATTCCTATTATCTACTCAGAAACACAATACTGATAACACATCATGATATTACGCACCCGTAACTCTTTATATATGGGGCTTTCACATAAAGAATGGTGCTTATCTCAGTCTCCATTGTGGTTGGCCTCTTTGCAGTGCGGGAGCAGGACGAACAGGTTGTTTCATTGTGATTGATATCATGTTGGACATGGCTGAGAGGGAGGGCGTGGTGGACATCTATAACTGCGTCCGAGAGCTGCGATCTCGCCGGGTCAACATGGTCCAGACAGAGGTACCCACTGACTTTTAAGCTTTCAGTTTATCTTAAGGAAGCTTCTTTCATAAATCTTTCAGAGTAGACACAGATGATGGACAGGACAGAAGAACAGAAGAATGGAATAGAAAAAGAGCATATAAAGGAGAGATCAACTTGCAAGAAGGTAGAGACAGGACGGAGATGGTGAGAAAGAATTAGAGAAATTGAGAAGGAGAATGGCCTTTGATTCAGAAGGAGTTCTACATATAAAAGAATGTGTAAACTGCATGTTTATCCATTTATAGCTTGTTCCTATTTAAAACCACCATGTCTCTTTAGCCAATTACCATAACATTCTCAGTTGCACTTCCTGCCTGTTTAAGAGCCAGCCGTCTCTTAGAGTGCAGCACAAATCGGGCGGTTAGAAGTGCTATAAAGGCGTGGGAATAACTAAAGGCAAATATTACTGCGAGCTGGCTCCTTTTTTACAGCTTTCAGCGATTTTATGTTGCAGCGGTGCTGAAGAACTCTCCGCTTTTCTGAACACAGACCATCTGGACTGAGCCGTAGCCTAGCTGAATGCACCATTTCCCTGTAATTCCGTTTAGATCACAAGCATCATTGGATTTAATGGGCAAATGTTTCATAGATGACGTCTGGATTGGGATTTGAGTAACTATGCAGCCAGTGCTTCTCTGATTCATCCTCCACAAGTTCAGTGACCTTCAAAGTGTGCACGCGTGCGTGTGCGTGCGCACATGTGTGCATTTTGCCTTGCAGGTGTTTGTGCGTGTTGGCACTGCCTGTCGCCCTACGGGCGCTTGTTACCTTTTTATGTGCATGTTTGAACTGTCAGCGATAATTTGCCACAACAGAAAGCGATTTGTGTTGCAAATTTGATGGGAAATGCTCCCTCATTAGGAAGAGAGCGCTCAATCGAAAAGACCAACTTCTGTTTTTTTGGGGGGTTTTTTGGTTGTTTTGCTGTTGTTTGTGACATCACATCTGCTCTCTGGTTGGTTGCGGCACCAGAAAGGTCAAAGATTGTTAAGCCACAATCACAGGCGCCTAATCACGGAAGCACTGACCCCCTGTGTCACGATTTAGTCAAAACTGACAAGGCCAGATTGTCTCAAAATGTCACTTCAACAGTGATTTTCATCAAAGCGCTGAATTGTCTCCTCGCAGATGAGCAGCTGGGATGTGAATACATATTCTGCCCTCAGTCACAAACAGCCGACAAGCCAAAGACAAATCAGACTTGTCTCAGATAGTGATACCATTTGACAAAATGTTCATCAGCTTCATTGTGATTTGATTTCCTTGAAGACACTGTTAGCATGAAAATGAGTACCCATCCTATTCATCTTTAGGCACTTTGCCATGACCACTTTAACAAGTACAGAGCAGGTATGTTAAAAACCAAACAAAATCTGACAGCTGGCAAACAATTGGCATTTTGTACATTACGTCATAGCAGTCCACCTTTATTGTGATAACTCATTGCAATGAACCCTATCATACATAACAGCTTACAAGTGATAGTAAGCTAGTAGTAGGTGATACAATGCAATCATCAGATTCATCTGCTGGTTGGGGTCCATAGCACAACCAACATTACAAAATGTTCTTCCTCACCATTGCATGCAGTTACACATTTTTACCAGAGAGGTTTCCAAATGTCTACATAGTTTAGCTTTAAGTAAACATATTCTTGTAGGTTAAAAGTACCTTATATATCTGGGATGTCCCTTAAGAAACATATTTAACAACTGAAGTAAATCTGAAACATTTTTATCATGCAAAATTTTGTGTTTTAGTATAACGGTATCAGTTTCTTAAATTTGCTTCAGTCACTTATTATAGGTCAGCCATCCTTATTATAGATGTTTTTTCATCTGATATACCAACAAAAGGAATTGCTAAGATTCTTTAGATTTTATCAACAGTTTTTGGCGGCATTTTTCTGTATTACAGATATTGACTGAGTTGATTAGATGATGATTGGTGAGACTGATTACTTTAATATTTTAAATGTACTTTCTGTCTCCTGTCAGGAGCAGTATGTCTTCATTCATGATGCCATTCTGGAGGCATGTCTCTGTGGAGATACCACCATTCCAGCCAATCAGCTTCGTTCTGTCTACTATGATATGAACCGATTGGATCCACAAACCAACTCCAGTCCAATCAAAGAGGAGTTCAGGGTAAGACATTGGGGGGACAAACTGAGCCTTTTTAACATATAATTCTCTTTGATGAATCAGATTGAGTCCATTAAAAAAGGGATCTCACACTTTTCCTACATTTCAAAATCATCTTCAGCTCTGATGAAGCCTCAGTTCATCTCACTTTAACACTGCCATTTTTAATTGGAGTTTGGACCCATTAACGAGTACCTAATAAATTTTAGATATTAGTCATGGAGCACAGCTAATGCTAAAAGAAATGATATTAGCATTAATATGGTAGTTCTGAAGTACGCAAGGCAGGTACAGTTGGCGCAAAGAAATGGGAGGTCCATGTAAATGAGGCTGCAGATTTAAGATTTTGTCTTAAGACATCTAAGGACCACATCTGTTTTCAGTGTCTAAAACCCTTTGCAATCTGCTGTATTGATGAAGGCGCTAGGCACAAACAAAATGCTTGCTGGAAATGCACAGCCATAACAGTAGGTTATTGAATGATAGCCTTGATAAAAATAGTTCTAACGCTGTAGGACAGCAAATGAATATTATTACAGTTGTAGAAAAGGCATACTCTGTATTATTTTAACTCAACAACCTACTGAAGTGGAGGTTTGTATGTAATAAGCCTTAACTTTCTACGGTGGCCAACAATTAAAAACGCGTTGCAAAAGAAAACACTTTCATCAACTTGACTACACCTGAGCTATATTTCAGAAATGCGCTGGGAACTCAGAAAACACTTTCATCAACATGACTACCCCTGAAATACATTTCACAAACACGCTACAATTTCAGAAAATACTTTCATCAACATGATTACACCTAAGCTACATTTCACAAACACATGCAACTTCAGAAACTCTGCAAAGCCAGTCACAACGCAACGGAAGTGAGCCACAACACAACGAAATGTTTCTTGAACACTCTCAAAGGGGATGAAATATCTATGATGGAAAAATCACTGACAGAAGCTGATAAGACCTCGTAGACTCACATTCAGTAAGTCCATGCTTAACTTGGCTGGCTCGTTAGCTATCTAACATTGCAGTACTATGATAGTTATCAGCTGTATCTAGTATTGCTATTTAAAATTCTACACTTACACTCTACAGCTAATTCTCATCATTAAACTAATTCCTATTCAGTGATCTTATCTGCAGGTTTCACCAGGTTCTGTACTTTTACCAGTGAATGTTTATGCTCCAAGTTTGAATGGATCCGTCCTCTTTGAGAGTCCTTTCCATTGTATTGTGACTGACTGCAGCGTTTCTGAAGTCGCGGGTGTTTTCTGTATATGTGTTTTGTAGCACTGGGGTAGTCATGGTGATGAAAAGGTTTTCTGTCTTTTCATCACCTTTGTGAAATGTAGCTTAATGTGGTGTATATGATGTAATTTTGATTAAAGTGTTTCTGCTTTTGCAGTGTGTTTTTTATGTGCAGTTAACTGGGTCTTCTTAGCCACAGTAATTTTTTCCACCCGTACATGTACTTAAGGTGGTGTTAACCTCACAATATTCCTACAGTACTAGCATAGCCTTGCCTGATCCTTTGCCGTTTTTAGGCATTGTACTAAGAGCAGTTGTTTAAAAAGTATGAGAATAATACAACTAGTATGGATGGCTGAGAAGAGATTTATATTCTGCCGTGACCCAGTCCAATTTGTGCATAAAAAGTAATATGTGCCTTTTGGACACACCTTAATGACTTACCCCATGTAGTAAAGCGAAATATTATATGTTGTAAAATAGGCCATCCAATTATATTCTATTAGTAATTATGGTAACCCCTTTGGGCAGCATTCATGAGACTACATTGCCTTTCATGACAACTGACATAAACCCACTTATTTCAATTCAGTAAGTGTTATGACAACTGATGCTTGTTGAAGTAAGCCTTTATCAATGTCTATATGGAACATTCATAATTCAGTTTGAGTTTAAACTGCAGTCCTACAGTAAAAAAAGAACTAAAAATACTGTTTGAATTAATAATTTATTAGTAGTTTGGGTTTAATTGCTACCTAAAAAAATTATTCAAAAATGCTGTCCCCCAGATGGCCATTTTTTTTGTTCATAATTTTAGTTTTAGCCTTATTTTAGTCACACCCCTGCATTTTAGAGTAGGAAGTGAGACTGTAACCCTTTTCCTCATGGCCATGTGCGGAGCAGGTAGAGCCCTTGGTTTTGAAGTAAACGTGTCCCAAAGTCTGAAAATCAGTGTTTCACAATGTGTTCTCAACTCTGACTTTGAACCAATTTGGTAGAATGATCCGTGTAGGTTTATTTCAGCTATCATGAAAGGCTTTGGTAGGTGTCGTGTAGCCTTATAAACACTGCCCTGAAGTGTTACCATAATTAATCATGTTAATTATGTTATGTCAAGTTATAAAAAGTCACAATTTTAGATTCTGATTGGTTGAGACTCTTTATTGCCGAAGAATGACACCCATACCTTGTGGTCCTGAAAAATAAATTCATGAAGGTGTTTTATCAGTCCAGTCTTGTTTAAAGTTATTATTCAGTCACAAGTTGTAATGCCCTCCATATATTCTAGTTCCAAAAAGTTCTTAAAAAATAAGCTATCAAATAAATGTAATAATTACCATACAGGTAAGCACTATAATATAAAGTACCGTTCTGTGTGTATGTGTGTGCATGTGCCATAGACTCTGAACATGGTGACCCCTACTCTCCGTGTGGAGGACTGCAGCATTGCTCTGCTGCCACGGAACCATGAGAAGAACCGTTGCATGGATGTGCTCCCGCCTGACCGCTGCCTACCCTTTCTCATCACCATCGATGGAGAAAGCAGCAACTACATCAATGCGGCACTCATGGATGTGAGGCACACTCCTCTGACACAGTGGTTTCTCTCTTTCTTTCTTTAGATATGATTTGTTTTGGCAAGAATGACAGCTACAGCATGAACACTCCTGGTCACATGTATGATAGCTTTTGCACCATGTTTCAAGCGTAAATTGGATGCATCTTGCCTGAAAAAGCATACATCACCAACTTAATTTCAGGCAGAACATTCTTTGAACTTCTTATTTTTTTCTGCATAATTTAATCATTGAGATGTCAAAAAGTCATTCAGGGTGGTTTTACGTGAAATGCTTTATTATAGAGAAACTTACAGACTTAGATTTCTTTACAGTGGTAGTGACAGGATCCAGATGTCGACATGTCTACTATGCAAATATAGCCATTTTATTTACCATCCGAAATAAGTACATTTTATATATATATATATATATATATATATATATATATATATATATATATATATATATATATATATATAATGTTGATTATATTAAAATGATGGTAAATCTGGAAAAAAGTTTTGGCCACTATTTTGCCTTTCAACACCCTGCATGTACCTCTCCACTATGAATGGGCTTTAAAAATACATTTTAGGCCAAAACCTTAACACATTGTAAATCAAGCTTCAGCCATCAGGCAAAATATTCTAAGCATTTTATGTAATAATTTTCTTTGAGGTAATGATTTTCAATGTATATTTGCTGTAGGTCACACATTACTAACTAGTCATGTTGTTGATTGGATGTTCTGCCACAAAACAGAAATGAATAAGAAATAGGAATTAATCCTGTTGGCTTTGGCACTTCAGAGAAGAAAGACTTTCTCAATTTATGGTCCTTGGGGAGCTTTCACTTCATGCCACTAACATTCCACACCTACTGCTGTGAACTAATATTGATTTTTCTTAATATTTTGTCATGTTTTAATGAAAAAGTCTACTTAAAGATTGTTGTATTGATGAACTGAATGTAGGCTATGAATATACTCTGTATTCCACCAAAGTAAGATGGGCGCACTGGGAGTAATGTGACTCATCTTGGAATGCCATTAGCCATTCCATCTTTCAAAGTATCTTAATTTTTTGTGCTTCTGTGCTTTCACATTTCCCATCTCTTGCTCTCTCTGTCTCTCATGCAGAGTTATAAGCAGCCTTCTGCTTTCATTGTTACTCAGCATCCCTTGCCAAACACGGTAAAAGACTTCTGGAGGCTGGTGCTGGACTACCACTGCACGTCTATCGTTATGCTCAATGATGTGGACCCTGCCCAGGTGAGGCCAGTAGACCTAGATGGAAGGATAAATGCATAGATGTACAGTTTTATTTGAATTGTTTTACTTTTCACAAGTGTTGGGCAATACATCATCTATACCTGTATAACATTGTTGATGTCAGCAATGTTTATTCCACTGATATTGATAGATAACGAAGTGTGGCAAATTTCTAGTCGTTCTGTTTGGAGAACACTGACTCAGGATTAATGAGTGGGTTTTTATTTTTTATTTTTACTATTTTTTGTACCTCAAACAGCCTCTCAGACTTTCAGAAACAAGACGCAAACATAGTCCATCAGCTTTTCAGCAGTATTCAAAATTCTACTCATTAAAACCCCACTCTCTCTTATATGAACAAAAATTAGAGAGCATACAGGCACTGACACAAAGGTTTAAGTGTGCTGCATTAACCAGGCTTTTAGCCCCAGATGGCATCCTTCTGTTCGCAACCCATATTAAACCACACCCACACCTCCTACATAACCCTATAGCCCAAAGCTGGACAAGATTCAAATACTGAGGTACAAACCTGCTGTAACAGCTCACCTGCTCCATAAGCTGTTTCTTGGGATGGGGCAGGCAGCAATTGTGGTGGTCTTGTTAATTTAGGGACGCACCTGCCCAAGTCCCAGGTGAAAGCCCAGACAGAGTACCCCCACCCATCCAATTGCACATTTGCCAAGTTTTCAGTAAGGCCCACTCACTTCAAAGACCCTCTTGTGTGAACAAAGAGGAGAGAAAATGAGCGCTTTGAAAAATAACGTCCAGGTGTGTGACTAGGCCCTCAGTCGCCCTGCATAGATGACAACCTTGCGGTTCAAACCCACACTAAACCACACCCACGCCTGCCATACCAGGATTATATCCATAATGGTCTCGCCAGCCAAAGGTCTGCATATTGTCAGAGAACCTGGTGAATATTTGTTGCTCAGCTTGGCCAAGGTCTACCTACATTGACAGGAAAGTCCATTTGGCTGACATGCAAAATACTCAACTGTTTATCAGACCACTATTTTATCATGACATGTAGGGGTGGGAGAGCTGCAGTAAACAAATGCACCACCAAACTTATGAGAATATCTCACTTAATAGGTACTAAATGTTTCAAAGAAAACTCGTAAATAATTTTTAAAGATTGGATGTGCCACAAACTTCACAAACTTTTTTCCAATCAAGCGACCATTTCGTTCTGAAAGGCTCAGTCACAGCATGTAGAGCAGGCAACTGCTTGTATTTACGTGTTTCCATTGGACTGATAAACACTGCACAGAAAGGCTGTGCGAATAGCCAAACTGACACACTCCCGATAGTTGTGGCCATCTTAACATCAGATACTCCATCTACTTGTGGGTGGAGTGTCTGCGGCTGAAAGTATATCCATAGTAACATTCTATTCCATAAAATAGCTGATGCCAGAACGAAACAGTGCAATTAAAACAAGCTATGTAAAGTTGGTAGTGTCTGCTTATACTGTATATGTCTATTTTTTAGAAAAGAGTAGTGTAGAGAAGCGGTACACAGGCAGTATGAGTTCATTAACTTTATTGTTGCTAAATATCATCAAATGCCGTAATACCAAGATATATTTGAAGATGTAATGAAATGTATCTACACTACCTAGCACTACTGTTCATATACCCAAAGTGCTTATATACATATAATGTGGATTTAGCCATGAATCATATTCACACTGGATGACAAGTCTGTCATAAAGCAAAGCATCATCAACAGCAACATCACTGGCAGCCAAAGCTAACTGAGAAAAAAAAATATTTTAAAGTTTTAAAGTTTTGGCTTCGGTATTTACTTCAAACTCTGCTATGGGAAGAGGCCTCTAAGAAGTGTTTTTTATCCTGTGAGATGTTACACCAGAGTTATTCTTAATAAATATTATTTACATGGAAGGAGGTATTTTGATGAAGGAATTCTAACGATTCAGGGTAGACATCAAAAGCTGCCCTGTAGAGTAATCAGACAGAGTGGTTAAAAATGAATGACTAGCAGAGATATGTGAACGTTGCAGACTTGGACTCTAGTGTGTTTGCACACGAGGGAGCTTGTGTGTTTGGGCAAGAGTGTTTGTGGGCAAAGTGTGGGTGGAAGAGAGAGAGATGCGTTTTTATGTGTGTACGTGACTCTGCATGAGTGTGTTAGGTGGGTGCATACCTGCCTGAGTCTGTATGTGTGTGTGTGAGTGTGAGAGAGAGACCCTATGGGGCAGCAGCCTGAGGCTCTGTCATAACACCCCAGGATCAAAGCCAGGAGGGGTGGAGAGAATCACCCCAGCACCACCAAAACCCATCTGCCTCTCCCGCTCCTCTCCACACTGAGGAGGCTTTCATTCAAAATTCTGACTGTAGCCACTGAGACCACGAGGACCAGGTACCAGGGGCAAATTCACGCACACACACACACAGACACACACACACACACACACACACACACACACACACACAGTCAGTATCTCTCTCTCTCTCTCTCTCTCTCTCTCTCTCTCTCTCTCTCTCTCTTTCTCTCTCTTCCTCTCTCTTTTCCACACACTCTCCTCAGTGTTTGTCAGTCAGACAAGATGCACCACATACACGTGATATCAGACTAACTACCCAACTTCTACCAAACTACTTTATTAGGATAGTTCAAATAAAGACTCTTACCTTATCATCATGCCCTGCGATGGACTGGCGACCTGTCCAGGGTATATCCTGCCTTCCGCCCAATGACAGCTGGGATAGGCTCCAGCACCCCACCGTGACCCAGAAGGATAAGCGGTTTAGATGATGTATGTATGTATGTACCTTATCATCAGCTTACATTCAACTAAAAAGCTATTAATCCATTAAGTAACACATCTTTATCTTAAGTTTTACTTTTCCTTTGCTCCGTATGTTTCCTTGCCTGACCAAAAATATGAAGAAATGTTTCAGCTCCATCAAATGAGTGAGTTGTTTGTCATATAACATTAAGATAAGCCAAACAATAGAAAGTCCACAATTATACTAAATTTTATACTCAGTTTAATTCTTGGCTGCCCCCGCCCCAACCCACTGGCTTCGTGGCCCTAATGGCTAGTGCAGATTTTCATGTCTGTCCACCCCTACCCTAGTTCAAATAGTGGACTATCCAAATGAGGTGGGACCCTGTTGTTAGCTCTGTAGCATTGTTGCAGTCCTGTCATAATTATTATGTAACTGCCTCATGCATTTATTTGAGCTGATCATGATTATTTTAGCTGACCACAATTATTTTCCACAGTTGTTAACCTTCACAATCCTATGCTTATATAGTAAAATGCATTTTTATCTGTTGAGTCAAATTCATGTAAATAAAAGAAAGCAGAAAAAAGTGTTGAGACTTACGTGGGATTCATGGGACTTATAAAAACACAATCTCTACCTTCTTACTGGTGCTATAACACCAGTAGAGGGCATACACTGTAGAGGGCAGTGGTGAGTAATGTTTGTTTATTTGAGCTTGGGCTGTTTCTGCCTTCAGTTGGGAGCTACTAAGTATCGACAGCTTGGTAGCAAGATAACTAAACAGCCAGTTTATTTAATACAGTATATTTGTTTAGAAAAAGTTGTTTATTACCATTATCATGACAGTTTTGTTTTTAATTTTTAGTTAAAATTTGGTGATCTTGACATGCCTGAATTGTTGATTGCCAAAAAAATTGTACGTCAGATTCATGACGTGTTCTTAAACCGCATACAGTCTAACCATAACCCTAACCTTTGTTACTGCATAAATGAGTTTTAAGAAGAAATTTCTTCTTAAGAATGGTTGGCAAATGAGGCCCATTGAGATAGCAAGAGTATAGGTCAGAAATGTCCTCACATAACCAGTGACAGGCCTGATGACTGACAAGAAGCACCTATGTAATGAGATGCTGCACATCACATTCTGTATGTATACTGTATATTACATTATTACAGTCAGGTAATTCATACCCCTAGTGGACCCTGTCAGAAATTGTGTCCTGAATGAGTGTCCTGAACCAAACACAACCTCCTACTGTGTGAGGGCAGAATTGAGTTACTCCTTTTGTGTGTGTGTGTGTGTGTATGTGATATAGCAGTTTTGTACATATGAAGCTGGTCCTTGCTAGAAAAAAACTGTTTTTGTTGTTTGGTTGTTGTGAAAAAAAATAAAAGAGCCAGAAAATGTCCTTCTCTTAATTGATGTTACAGTTAGTGCTGTTAGGTTAAGATGCAGGCATAGCATTATTCAGCTACAGTAAAAAGATGTCAGTGGAAGTCCTTACTAATGTGCGAGCGTGTCTTTTGTGCATCAAAGCATGCTTACCTCTGTGCACACACATGCAGGTGGGTGTTGAAACAGTGCCTTCTCAGCTGCGGCACTCCAGCGAGGGGAAACAGGGGCCGTCTCGTGCTCTCAGCTAAATGAACAGGCCTCTCTCTCCCTACCCTACACATCAAACACTAAAGAGCCAATCTGGCCCTGCTGAGAGACACTCACACAGGCTCCATATCCTCTTCTCATCACTTATTCCTTTACAAAAAGCAACACAATCATGCGCCTATTGTCGGGGAATGAAGTATGTAGTCTGCATGGAGCATTTCTAATGGAAACGATCAAATAGGAGATGATTTGAATATATGAATAAATAATGAAAAGGCAAAAGATCTGATTCTTTGCAAGACCGAATGACTTTATTCTTACTGTCGCTGTGACATTCAAAGCCCCACCGGATTAATTTTTAATAAAAAAGAAAAATCTCTGCTGAAGTACTCGTTTTTTATGTGCATATTTGCTGGAAGTGTTTTACTGTTTGCATTTGTTTCGTGTGCTGCTTTCTTTTGTGTGAGCTTTTTGTCATCATCTTTCATCTGCAGGAAAGACAAAAAAATGAAAGTTTACAATAAGAGCATGTATGACCTGAATGGTGTTTCATAAATGTTTCCCTAGTACACCTGCTGCTGTCATGTTTATTCTGTCTATGTATGTGTAGCTGTGCCCTCAGTACTGGCCAGAGAACGGTGTACATCGGCATGGCCCTCTGCAGGTGGAGTTTGTGTCAGCTGATCTTGAGGAGGACATCATCAGCAGGATATTCCGCATTTACAATGCTGCTCGGGTGGGTTTTACACACTCACACAAACTGGCTTGAATATCCACCTCATCTCACCTGTTCTAAGCTCATTACAGCGTTATGTCAACCTCCATGACATCACCAAGACCTGCCATGGCCTTCCGCAACCACACACACACACACACACAGCCCTTACCAATCACGAGAAAGCCTGCTGATTTAATTTACTTATCCAACTAATCACAATACCGTCTGGTGATGCATTTTACTTTCCCACCAATCACAACACAGCCTGCGGATACATTTTACTGACCCCACCAATCACAACACAGCCTGCTGAATTATTTTACTGACCCCACCAATCACAACACTGATGCATTTCACATCCCAACCTATCACAAACAGCCTCTTAATGTGTTTTATTCATCTCACAAATCACAACACGGCCTGCTGACTTATTTTAAAATAACAAAAAAGTGTAAAACACAAGCAGACCTTTGGCATAAGGACATATTAACATACACAAAACAGTTCTATTAAGAGAACTAATAAAACAGCTAATTTCCAATAGCCAACAAAAGCACTAAGAATTCTGGGAAGCTCCACCCTTCACGCTAAAATATTTCTATTAATTTAGACTTTGTGAATTTCTGCTGTTTGAGTTTAGAAATGTGACATTTGACAAGTGACGATCATAGTTGACCAATCACAGTCATAATTAGATCAGTAAGTAAAGTTCTGTTTAACTAAAACAGATGTTTGTGAGTTTGTTGTGTTTTTGGCCATATTACATGCAGTTATGAAATAATGTTTGGGAGGAGGACCACAGCTGGAGCTCCTTTACCTTGTAATCTAACATCCTAGAAATTTCAATCTCCACTTTTGCTTTCCTGTGACAAAGTTTTTACACCCCACCATCTCTCCATCCCTCCCTGTTCATCAGTTGTATCTCTGTTCATCAAACAAGTGATCAAGCCCTATAACTTAAAATAGAACCTGCCCAGAACTCCAGCTTATGTCCTCAGAAGGTTTCGTCCAAACTATTAAAATTGTATCGGCCGATATTAGGGGTGTAACGATATATGCATTTCAGAATTCTGTTTGATATGATACAGTGGTGTCTCGATATGATACATTTATGAAAAATAAGGAGTGCCTGAATATGTGCTTTATGTTTATATATTCATGTTAAAATGTCAGTGTTTGCACCATGTGCACACTTTAGATGCATTCCCCCTAAGGGTGTAGCAATGCACATGATTTCAGGATTGATAAGATTTTCAGTTGAGAGGTCTATTGGATTTTGTAATTTAAAAGTAATTCTACAGAGCTATACAGAGTGATGTTTCCCATAAGCTTTCTAGCACAAAGATGATTCTTAAATGGTAGAGCGAGTATCACACTAAACACTTTCTCTACCAGTTGGGATGATCTCAACACTGAGATGCTTTTGGGAAACTGGGATGCCTACGTTACTCTGACAAGAATTCTCCTCTGACAAGAAAGATCAAATACCTAGTTTTGATCGTTGACAGCAGGTTTCATGGAAAATGATGAATGAGAGATCCTCAGAAGAAACTGAGGGGTAAACAGGTTTACAGTTAAGATTGGGTTACTGTGTTTTTAATTGTTTATTGATACATATTGAAATTGTTACACTCTGTGGCAGAATTTACAGTTATAGGAATTTTTGCCTACATATAGTTGGTATCGGCCACAGAACTTTCAGGCCCTGTTTTATGCATCTCACTGATAACAACACAGCCTGCTGACTTATTTTGAGACTGCTGACTGCGTTCTGTGGCTGACTGGATTCTGTGGTGTTATGTTACCAGGTTAAAGGCCAAAAGACAAGAGCTATACTGTTTTGTTTTTGGTTTTGTTTTGTTTTGTTTTGTTTTTTACAGTATTGATGGTTATCACTGATTTGTGACTGACTGTTTTTGTTTTCCAGCCTCAGGATGGCTATCGTATGGTGCAGCAGTTCCAGTTCCTAGGCTGGCCCATGTACAGGGACACACCTGTGTCCAAACGCTCCTTCCTCAAACTCATTCACCAGGTAGACAAATGGCAGGAGGAGTATGACGGAGGAGAAGGACGCACTGTGGTGCACTGCCTGTAGGTCACACATGCATTCACACACTCATATGAACATATGCATAATACATGCACAGAACACTTTATCTGTTTAGAAATAAATGACTGTTTGCACGCACTGTGTACAAACACCATCCTTCTTTCTTTCTCTTGCTTTACAAATCAGGCCCATCCAGCAGAGTCTCCGCTGAGCGTATGAAATCAGCCTTTCTGTTCTCAGGCCTCCAACAGCATGAAAACAGATCAATAATCATTAGAGTATTAATTAGCAAATTCATTCGTCAGAGAGGACTGAAAGCCTGGAATTTTTGTTGGAGAGCGATTCGTTTTCTTTCTGTTTTTTGCTAAGAGAAACATCTCCCTCTAGTGGCAGAACACACTCACAGCTCATTTAGCTCCTTGGTTCTAGGCCTCAGTTACGAGACCCTCTTGACTGTATCTCTTTATGTTCTCCGTGGTCTAACACTTGAAGGGCTTGATAACTACCTGATAATAATTAGAGATTTAAATACTTGTCCTGAAGTTTTTGACTGTTCACGTTATGATCGTTTGGGTTTGGGTCGTTTTCAGCCCACTTTTAACAGATTTTTTCCCTGCATTTTTCCTGCTTTAGTTTTTCTTACTTTTTCCTCCTCCCTACTTTCATTATCTTAAAACAGTTTTTAATCCAGCATGCTGGAGTCACCCACTCATGTTGTTGACTCAGTGTAGCACCAAGGTCCTCGCTCATGAGAAAAACGGAAAAATAAACAGTGAATTGATTCAAGAAAGTTCCATTAAGTGCAGCCAAAAGGATGTTTGTATTTGTTAGGCCAAAAATATTTTATATGTTCAGTAAATTATATGTAAATGTTTCATGTAAAGAATGAGAGTTTTTCTACCGTTTCTACCGTTAGCTGTGCTATTGAAAGGAGAATGTTATCATTTTTAGGCAGCTGTGACAAGCAGGATAACAGTGTTCATTATCAATAACTGCGTGACATTTATTTATGAAAGTGGTTTCTTCATCTCCCCCAGCTCTCAAAACCTGCATGTGTCAATGTCGCTGAAATCTTGCCAAATGTAGGTTTACAGCAATGGCTGTGAATAATAGGGAGACAAAGTTGTAAATGTTAATGTTAAACTTGAACTTCTGAAATATTCTTAACTTTTTTGACCAAATAGTTAATCAAAAAAGTTAAGAACATGCTCTCTAGTTTATCTTTTTTTTTTACATTCTTTGCAACATTTCCATGATTTTGATTACATGTTTACATCTCAGTTATGTATGTGTGGGATAGAAAAAAACAACAAATAATGATTATTGACCTCATTTGATTTTGCATTTCCTAACTTGACATAAGATGCTGTAAAGTAAGTTATTGTTCCTCAGTTGCTTCTGTAATAGGAATTGGAGCTTGTCAAATCTTAACTTAGAACTAAAGTTAAGTTTATGTAATTTGGCCCTGAACTTTAGCTTTTTTATATATTTAAACTATATGTGTTTGTACTTTTACACATATAACCAGACAGCTGTCAGTTGTATTTTTTTAATCTTACTGAATGTTGTTGTTTTTTATTTGAATGCTGACCTGTATGTGTGCTCGTGTGTGTCAGGAATGGTGGCGGACGCAGTGGAACGTTCTGTGCCATCAGCATCGTGAGTGAAATGTTGCGACACCAGCACTCAGTTGACGTGTTCCACGCTGTCAAAACACTGAGGAACAACAAACCCAACATGGTGGACCTACTGGTGAGTACTCAGCCTTAGGAGAGTATGATTTTTATTATATTATATTATATTATATTAGATACAAATGTATTTTTTCCTACAAATAAATACAATATCCAATGTTAACGGGGGCTAAAAATGAGAAAATGTTGCTGATATCAAGTAACTCATTACTTACTGAAATGCCACATGGCACAACCGACAGCAAAGGACTTTTGTTCTGACATGCATTTCAGGGATAGTTTTCAGGGTATTGCACCATAAAGATGGCAAGTGGCTGTGAAAGTGCAATACAAAGTCAGTCTTGGTTAGGCTGGTTCAGTTTAGATGCAGTCAGGTGGTGTGATCCCAGGAAAAGCATGTTATAATATGTTATAATAATAATAAAAATGTTTATTTATTTGGACAAGATCATTTATGTATAAACTTGAATTGAAAAACAAAGGTTTATACAATTGTCCAAATACAAAGACTAGATGATATACGTTGTTAATAGTGGCAGATAACTTAACAAATAAGATTTTTTTATGTACAGTTGTGCCACTTGACATTTTCTGGGTGGTAAAATTTATGATTATGTTTAAAAATGAATTTGTACCATTATTAAAGCTATAAAACAAGTATCAACAGTTTGAATAGGTTCTTTTTAATAAGAATTTTAAATGATCTTTTTGAGATCCTTTTGTCATTGACACATATAAAATTGCCACAGTGAAGTAAGTCCTATGTAAAAATTCAGTGTATTATCCATCTAAACAATATTTTCTAAACTAGTGGTTTTGTGTTTTTCTTCTCTCTCTCTATAGGACCAGTACAAGTTCTGTTATGAAGTGGCTTTGGAGTATCTTAACTCAGGCTAGCTGTGCTAGCCCACAAAAGACTGACAACTTTGGGATATTTTGACACAGTGGACGCTCAGTGTGTGTACAGCGCAGGTCCAGTGCGTGTGTACACGTGCGTGTGTACGTGTACAGTCTGCTTGTATATTTCAACAGATGTTCATTTATCCGGCTGGGCATTTTCAACAACTGCAAGAGCACAATGTAATGTCCAAGAATTCTGCCATCCTCTGTACTCTAACCGAAGTATGTATCCTAAGTGAAACCGCTGATGTTCGCCTCACCCCCTTATTAGTTTGGGCCTGTGTTGCCTTCAGCCACAAGTCTGTATCATGTTTCAGCTTTGCGCAAGGCATTCTGTGTACATCCTCGTAGTGTTTACCATTTCTTACCGATCTACACTGAATCGTGTGAGTGGACACTACTGGGCAAGAATAGAATCTAAATGTTATTTTGGTGTGTAAATCAATCTTAATATGGTAATGTATAAAGAATTCATGGAAGCCCTGAAGGGTAAGGTAAAGAAAAAGAGGGAGAGTCACATTTACAGCTGATATATTTTTCTGCTGAGTAATAAAACTCTGGTGCATGTTAGCTCATACCGTGTTGTCCTATGAACGTCATCAGCGATAAGATTTTGAGTCGCTCACATTGCTCACACATATTTGCGTCATGTATCTGCTACATAGGCCCTGTAGAGTTTATGCACAAATTATATGTGAAGAATGAAACATCACTGAAATGTTCTCTCTTTTTTCAGCATAAGAAACATTTTAATACCTTATATCACAAGTGGTTTTCTGAGTAAGCATAACTGCAAATGAACTCATGGCACTCAATTACCATATTTTCCCCAATTATACAATGATGCATTACAGAAACAAGTGCCTAGTTAGCTGTTATATGTGAAATCTTTACAGAGATTATGTTATCCAGTGTGCCAAAGCTTTTTTGATGGACACCATAGATAAAGTCTCAGCCAGTGTATCAATTCGAGTCATGAATTTTGTGTATCCTTACGGCTGTACCAGCTACCTTAGGATCTTTCTTAACATTAGCTCAGCAGTCGCTAGCTAGAAACAGTTATTTCTAAATAGAATAGCTAGAAAAGAAGATCCTAATATGAGGTTTACAGTTGCTGCACTGGAGTAAAGTCCAAAAAGTTGCTTATTTGCACCACATAAACTATTGTGTGCATTATGTATTGTCAAAGTCATCCCATGCAATATGCTGCTGACAAAAGGCATCTGTCCCTTGTGGTCAGTGTTGGTATAACATCAATTCTGCAGGCCAGTTAGGTCCTGTTTTAGGGCTGCTTAGCAATGAAAATCATTGAGCAGATATTTATAAAAATAATTTTCATCTGTTTTTATTGTTTTACGCACAGCAAAAACTTTAAACATGCAAATTTGACTCTGGAACACACTTTTTTCACCTTGCCCTTCATGGCTTCTGTGTAGAATTGACATGGCAACCATCATTGCATACGTTGCGCCACGTTCAAAAGATCCAAAGCTTTTTTCTTTTTTTTTTTTGCACTTTGTTTTTGATATTGTTTGTTTATATTGTAAATATGACCAGTGTAGTGTATTATTTATTTGCACTGTGTATTTCTGTTGTGAAACACAGTGACAATCGTGTACTGGGTTCATTGGTTGAATTGCCCAGAATGTATTGTCAGCTTTGGTTAATCTTGTTTGAAGAAATATTGTACATGTTCAAATATATACTGTATGTATCATAGCAAAAAAAGCCTTGACCTTCATTATGTATCGTAGCAAAAAAGCCTTGACCGTTTCTTTATCTCATTTACATGAGTCAGTGGAAGTCTGGCCTGTTTTTGCTCTGCCTTGACAGTAGATCAGTGCAGAAGGGCCCATATCCTACATTTTTCTTGATTTCTCTATGTTCCAAAACCAGCCATAATTCATTTTTGTTTTTAATTTTTTAATTAAACAGGCTGGTTTTGTTGCTGTGCCTTTAAGACTGATTATAGTAAATGTCCTCTGCTCTGATTGGCTGCCTCATTTAAGAAAGCATTCAGCACTCCTTATTACTTAGTATGAATGGATGGGCTGAACTGCTATACTGAAAGGTGAATTCAGAACAGGCTGTTTGTGCAGCTTAATTTCCATAAACACATACAAAAGTTTCAGTGCCCCTGGTCAAATGGCATTTTGTTGATTTTGTAAGTGAAAATAAGTGACACATTCTCTACAGAGAACACAAGTCTGCACATTATAATGCACAAGTACTGTTTATTTGATGAATTTAACATACTGGTAAAAAATAAACATAAAATGTGGCCTGTGCAAAAGTTATTGCACATATTATATTTTATGTTTACTTTCATGCAACTTTGATTACTCAAAACCTGCATGAAACTAAATTGCACATAAGTTCTATAATGTAAAGCACCCACCTCAGTGGCAGACGGGCGCACTCCTCCTTCTTGCCACGCCTCCAGAAGTTTTTGTCTGAGGATGAAAAGGTATGGCATGTTCAGCAGGTCTTCACAGTGTAGTTTACTGTTTACCAATGGATTACAGTTTGCTCAGACTTCTGGACCAGAGGGCTGCCAGCTGCACAGTGCACATGAGATTCAACTCTTCAGTCAATGATCATTTGTTAAATCAGAGAAAACACGACCACTAAATGCAGTGTTTTAAAAATATATTTTAATGATTAGTTCAATCTGGTTTGTTCAATGCTGTGCAAAAGTCTTAGGCAGCCAAAAAATACTTACTGTCTGGATAAATGGCTTTGCATATCATTTTCTCGGATTCTTTTACACAGTAGATAAGGGGCGAACATGTTATCAGAAACAATTACCATATATAAGCACTTTGTAGGTTCAATTACAGACTGCAGCCAAGCTTACTGCACAGTTTATCAGCCACCTTCTACCCTGTCCACCAATAGAAAGGGACAACCATAAGACCACGCTTGGGCAAATACTACCATTGTGTGCAAAGTCTGAACACTGCTGGAGAAATTATATGTTATGCTGATTTTCTAAGTGAAAATAAGTTCATCCTCTGCAGAGAACATACAGAAAAATGGCATTTTTTCTGCACACTTTAATGCTCAATTTATATTTATTTATTTATAGTTAAACATATTGGCAAAACAATAAATAATATAAAATAATAAAACATAAAACATGGCAAAACTTTTGCACAGGCCACATTTAATTTAGTTTTCAATATGTTAAACTCAGCAAATAAACAGTACTTGTGCATTAAACTGTGCAGAAGTGTGTTCCCTGTAGAGGATGTGTAACTTATTTTCACTTACAAAGTCAACAAAACATCATTTCAGCAGAGACATCCAAACTTGTGCATAGAACTGTATTTGGAAAAGAAGCAAGCTTTCAGGGGGCTACCACTAGAGGGGGCTTGAAGCACGTGTTGTGCTCAGAAAGGACAACAATTGAAAATGCTTCCCCAAGTTTGCCACTGCTCCTTAAACAGAAAATATCATCGCTGTCCATTGTTTCCCTTTATATTGTGTGAAAATTTCAGGATGAATAAATGCTAAGAAATGCTCCAAAATTTCTTTATAAAACACTGCAGACTTCAGCACAGTGGCTCATTAAACACACCTGATTCAGCTCATCAGCTAATTAGCAAGACCTTCATCAACTGAATTCAGAGCGCTAGTTGAGGGTAAACGCTAATCTCCGCAGCACTTTGGCCCAGAAGGCCCCCAGTTTGATATGCCTGATCTAGATGCAGTATTTCTTTATGAAATATAGCAATGAATATTCTATAAAGTCATACCATACATGGTGTCATGCTATGTGAAAAGCTCAAACTAGTACAGTCAGCATTAACTATAGCTGTACAGTGGAGTGTGAAAATATATTTTTGGCTTGAGGTAGAGGAGACACATCCAGTCATCACAATGTTCAATGGCCCAGCCATGTGTTTGTGTGGGCCTGTTTATGGTGGTCCCCTTTTATTGGTGGTTGGGGTAGAGAAGGGCTGAGAAATTATACAGCAAAAGCCGGTCAAGTTCACCTATATGGTAGAAGCTCCTGATAAACCAGTAAGTGTAGATACAAGGTAAATTATCTGGTAACTCAGCATATACAATCAGCGATCACTCTACTAGGAGAATGCAGAGAAACAGATGGACTACGGTCTGTAACTGTAGAACTACAAAGTGCTCCTATATAGTAAGTGGAGCTGATAAAATGGGCAATAAATGTAGATACAAGAGGTGTGCCTAATAAAGTGCTCACTACATGTATATAAAACTACTAAGTGTGCCCTTGATTCACTCATAAAAATGACTACAAATTGTGTGCCTGTCCTGTGCTTTGCCTCAGGCTATTATCTTACATGGATAATATGTCCTTCTGCCCATAATGCACACATTGCTGTTAGGAGAACAGGTTACTGGGTTACTACGGTTTCTGGTTGTGCAGCATTTGAGAGAAGAACCTGTCAAAAAGGAAATGAGAGGTTTCGATCAAATGGAGAAAAGTCACCGACGCTGATGTAGAATCAACCATAGCCTTTTTGACCTGCTTACAGAAACTCCCAAACATTAAATCAATCAAGTTGAATACAAGAATTATGTTTTTCCAAGTTTCCTGGGATTTCTGGGATCACAAGACGCAGTCCCAAATAAGTTTCTATTTTGAGTTGGGGGTAATTATCCGGTGAGTTCTTGTTTTCAGAGTTTTTACTGGCTCCTAGTTACATCTATTTGCGTATTGTGGTGCGTTTACCTCCTGTTTTATTCACCATGTCTATGCTGTCTTTCACTCCTAGGCTATCTTGCCCTGGGTTTGTGCTTAGTTTATGTTTTGGTTACTTGGTTACTTGACTCTCAGAAAAATCAAATTTCTTAACATTTCGCATCATTTATGTTCCATGAGCAGTGCACAAACACAACTGACGTCTATTTATCTCCCTCTTATTGAAATCTATCTGTAGCTCTTCCATTGTAACTACTTTCAAATGGATCCTTCACAACCTGCAACATTATATTCATTAAATAGGCAGCCTATCATAAACACTGAGGTTAACGTTATAGTGAGTGGAGGGCATGCCTTGAACTTGTTTAAACAGCAGTGAGTAAACAAGCAAATTACACACTTTATTATTCACTAAAATTCATTTCCAAATGAGGGGCTATTATTTCTCTTTTACACTGGGGCCCTCCATAAGGGCCCATAAATTCCCAGTTATGCCACTGGGACCCTGTGTTCTTTCTTAAGCATAGATTTTCTAACATTTATGTAGCCATATTCCTTAGTAGTTTAATGAGTAAAGCAAAAACATAATAATACTTTACATAATAATACTTTACATGACTGCCGATCTGCTGTCTTTGACTGAGCATGTGGTGCAAACATGCCCCTGATAGAACTTCACTTTGATATTCCACCATGATTGCCTCTAAGGGATTAAATGTCTTATCCTGTGTCACAGATGTGTACAAAATGATAATTCTATATATGATGTAGTATCACTATTGAACCACATTGCAACATGAAGCAGAAGAGGAGGAGCTGCTCCTGTATGAAAAACCCTGAAAATGAGTGTTCTTACACCAGCCCTAAAAATAACAAACAAGTTCATGACGGATTAATTCTGTGGTAGTTCAGAAATAGCGTCACCCTATTTCTACCTATTAGTACAAAACAGAGTAGAACATTAATATTTTGTATACTAACCTGCCAAAATTGTATACTACTGAGTACAGTAAGAAAACAAGCAGAACTCACCACTTGTGACCAGTAGAGCAAGCAGCAAAGCCAAGAGCACAACTCTCAATTTTCTGTTGAAAAATATAAATATAGCAAAGGTGGTAAGTACAGCAAAGTGTAGTACAAGTGTAACACGTGAAGTAATGGTACAAACTGGACAGAGATGAACAGAATTTCACTGTAAAATAGCAGTAAATTACTAACTGTAATAATAAAATAACTGTAAACTGTGAGTTTACACTCACCTGCACCACAAGATTAGTGTAATGCAGCTGTATGATCGTACGCTAGTACAATATGGTGTCCCCCAAGGATCTGTGCTCGGGCCGCTGCTTTTCTCTCTGTACATGGAACCTCTTGGTAACATAATTCGCAGGTTGGGCGTTAGTTTTCACTGCTATGCGGACGACACATAACTTAATAGATCTCCTAAACCAAATGAGGCCCTGAATCTAAATAATCTTGAATGTGTTAATAATCTTGAATGTGTTAAAAATATCAAAAGCTGGATGACCTACAATTTCCTTCTTCTAAATCCTAATAAAACTGAGGTCCTACTACTTGGACCCAAAGCAGAGAGATCTCAACTCTCCAAATTTGAACTAAATTTAGATGACCATATGGTCATTCCAAGCACTACTGTATAAAATCTAGGCGTCATCTTCGATTCTAGTCTCTCCTTTGATATACATGTTTGCAACATTGTTAGAACCGCATTCTTCCACTTGCGTAACATCGCTAAACTACGTAATGTTCTAGCCCTAAACAATGCGGAAAAGCTGGTGCCTGTATAACCTCCAGGCTGGACTACTGTAATACCATTTTAGCTGGAATGGTCCAGAATGCAGCTTCTGGAGTCCTTACAAGGACCAAGAAATTTGACCATATATCCCCAATCCTGTCGTCATTACACTGGCTTCCTGTTAAATTTCATGTTAATCAGTCTCTCTTTCTCTCTTTCTCTCTCTCTCTCTCTCTCTCTCTCGCTCTCCCTCCCTTTATTTGAGCCCCTGAGCGACGTCTGCCTGAGTCGCCACATGGGAGCCACCAGAGCTGCTAGAGTCAGTAGAGCTCCATCTCTGTTGGCTGATCTGCACCGTTTTGACGACCATGGAGTTTCATGCTGTACAAAGCTGTTTAAACCTCACTTGCATGAACTGACCCTCCTGATGCTGCTGCATAAACTCAAACTATCTAATTAAACATTGCTCCACCTGTTTTTCCTGTTTTGTATTATAATATTTTGTATTAATGCTGTTTGCTATCCGGTGTCGACCAGAGGAGGATGGGTTCCCCTTTTGAGTCTTGGTTCCTCTCAAGGTTTCTTCCTCTTGTTCTTAGGTAGTTTTTCCCAGCCACTGTTGCCATTGGTGACGCTCATGGGGTCTTGGACCCGGATTTTTCTGTAAAGCTGCTTTGTGACAACACCTGTTGTAAAAAGCGCTTTATAAATAAACTTGACTTGACTTGTATTCTGTTGCACACTTACGGTAATAACCTGCAATTAAAAATCAGTCATCTCCTGTATATTTACATGACAACTGTAAAAGTAATGCGAGTTAGTAGGCGTCAATTTACTGCAAATTTACATAAAAAAAAGGCTTTTAATTTTACCAGACCTATAAATGTTTTTAAAAATAAAATCTCAATAAACAATACAATTTTTCCAGCATAATAGAACAAACAAAAACTCCAATGTAAATATTTAACCATCTTTACAACACCAAAGTCTGAACTGTCAGAATAAAAGCACTTAAATGTTTTAATAAATGCCTTTATAGCTCTCAGTTGCTGTCATCTTCCATATTTCTGTGTGATACAGCTCAGTGTTAATGTCAGTAATTTGCTGTGTTATTACAGACAATCTCTTAAAACCAGCTGATTTCATAAGAAGTTCCTGAATACAGTAGAAACCCAGTTTTGTTAAACGGTGTAAATACAGATCATTTCGTGACTTGAATAAAACAGTGCACTCAAGCAATCAGGACAGTGTAGTTACCCAACTATTAATAATAAAACTGCCAACATGAGCAAGACTTACCTTTGTTATTAGGGTCTTTTTAGTTCACTCCTCTTTCTCATCAAAGCATTCATAGGCTTCAAATACCAGCCTGCTCTCTACATTGTAATGTTTAAGTGTCTGAGTGTTCAGTGTTTCTAAATAATGGAGGAGATTACAGTAACTGATCCGTAGCTGCGGTTCTCCCAGAAGATACTGAACATTCTAAAGCTCAAATGTAGCATCAGCACAGTTTATCACTGATTTTGGCCTGGGGGAAAGAAATAAACTGAAAGCAGAAGGAATATTAGACAACATGCTTTTATTTGAATTGACTTTCAACTTATTTGTACACTAAATATTATTCCACGTTGAAAAATGTCAAATATCCAACACATTCAAAGCATTTTTAACTATGATTTTAAGAAGGATTCTATACAGCAAGACATACTTTATGGAAAATAGCTTTGGTTTAACACACTACAGACAGGTGATAAATGAAAGGAAAAAACAACATGAAGTCTCATACTGAGGCGTGGCGCCACCGTGAGCTGCCAGAACAGCTTTGGTGCTTCTTGTCATAGATTCTGGAATTCTCTGGAAATCTGAAGTCTTTGGAACTGTACTGTTCTCTTTGCCAATTTTTGGTATTTTTCCAATTTCTGCCCCAATTTAGTCATATCCAGTTCCACCAACCAGTTAGAACTCCCCCAGTCACACAATACCATCAGCGCTAGGAAGGCGAAGGCAAACATAACCCTCTTCCGAGTCCTGTGAAGCGCCACTGCATCTTTTTAAACAGCCGCTAAGGCAATGCCCATTGGACAGCTGAACACGCTTGGAGAAGAACACTAACCGCCAGTTCTCTTACGTCAGCTAACAGATGCCTGCGCTGGCTAGCATCATGCTGAGTAATCGGGGGTGAGGGAGGGCCATCCCTCCCACCCAGAGAGAGCGAGGCCAATTGTGCTGTCTTGGACTCCCGGCCACAGATGGCTGTAGAATCACTTGGGATCAAACACACACTGATAACAGGGCCAATGCTATCAGATGCCACAGAGCATTGCAGGATATTAGTGACTCAATTGTATCACCTGTCTGGAAGCATCTGCACTGGGTGTCTCCACTCACTCATTCAGGGTTTCCTATCATTTTTTACCTGTCTGTACTTTTAAATCAACTATCGACATTTTGTCTGGTTAACCGTCCACCCTGAAAAAATAAGCAAACCAATTGAAATGCACACATTTAAATCACAAATTGATCTACTCAGTTTTGTCCCATATTCAAAATTCAAAAATTCTGCCCTATATGTAGTCATTGTTATTGCAGAGGTCAGTCTGACAGCACTGGGCATTGACAAAGTAAAAAGTCTGCAGCATGAGGCAGTCAGACATGTTGATGCATCTCTGGAAGGTATTATCTGAAGAGATAAAGATAGAGAGAGCATTTTAACATTTAACCAATACCCTGTATAAAAGTTTTTTGGTAACACTTTACTGAAGGGCAGGGTTAATCAGGCTACATGACATCTATCTGTGCATTTCATGAAAAACATACATAAACACAAATTGTAAAAGGCTTATTCTAACGAGAGTTAGTTGTCACTACACTGTCTCAGGTGAATTGACAATCAGTATTAACAAAAGCAGCTTTAATGATGGAATAAGTGTTTATGTAGGTTTATGTCAGTTTTTGTTAAAGGCTAATGTAGCTGTCTAAAAAAAAACCCATGTTTAATTTTTTTTCAATTTTTATTTTTCTACATCTTTTGAGTTTGGCAGCTGTTCTTTACATTGGGTGAAAATTTGGTGATGAATGGACCAACAGAAACGGCCAAAAATTAAGTGGAATAAAATCTTTTTGCATTAGAGTTTTTTTTTCCATGTTTTCCATTCTGCAATACAGAACACTTTCAGTGACCACAACTTTAATTATTACTCAGTTTCAGCCTTTGGCAAACCTGTAGCTCATTTTGCAAATCCCACATACACTGTTACAAAACTGTTACATTTATCTCCATTAACTAACATGACAATAAACTGCATATCAGTTTATTAAATCACAAATACACAAATCAGTTTCATTCAGTTTTATTCAATTCAAATAAAGAACTTTCAATGTAACAATGTAAAGCAAACTTTTAGTTTAAATGAACAAATTCTGTATTTTACTAAATCAACATCAGTGCCCTGTTTCACTTTTTAGATGAGAAGCACCTTATAGACCTGGCTTGTAACTCACTCTCACTCCTTCACATTTACCAAGGTTGTCCACAAGGAGGAGCTACTGACACAAGGAGGTAACGGCCCCTTAGAAGGAATACTGTGGCCACTCAGCTTTGTGTTTGTATTATCTGTCCTATAACTTAGACTTTATTGTTCTGTATTTTTCTCTGGGCCAGTGTTTTATCTGCATGGTAGCCATCCAGACTGCATTCACTGGAATTACGAGGATTTTCTAGTTGAGCAAGCCGTTCAGACATTTCAGTGGAAATTGTCTGATGTGAGCTGACCAGATAGGGCTAGCCCACGTGCTACATGCTGCCATCAGCTCAGTTCATTTTCTGCTGATGAATCAAAGCTCATCATCTTAGCTCAATTTTAAATGTCTAGCTTCTCCAACATTCCACCAGCCTTTAGCCCCACATCACTCTTAACAACAGAGTCGTTAAAAACAACCGTGGAGGAAAGTTAATTTAACTGCAGCTGAATCCGTCCACAGAGCTAGCGTTAGCCTCATCTGACCTAGCAGAAGCAGAGCTTACTGTCACTAGACAGATTCAGCAAACTGAAATTAACTGATCTGGATTAGAACCGTGGACGCCTCAGAGTATTTAGGACAGATAGTGTTATCATTCCAGCCTAACAGTAATACCTTCTGTACTGTCAACAGTGATGAATGAAAACCCATTTTCCAAATGAAAAGGCGTTTACAGCGAGCGCAGACGGAGTGTGTCGCACACAAGGAAGTTAATTCAGTTCAGGTGTTTGGGAACCCAGCTAAATTTCCTAAAGAGAAGAAAAAGAGACTACTGAGGAGATTCAGAGCTAAATTAGGGCGGCTGCAGCTCTGCTGAGTTTGGATAGGATGAAGATTTGTTTTTGTCAGTGTTCTTGGCACTAATTAAGCAGGGAGCTGCAGCACTACAGTGACATTAGAAAGGAAAACGCTATGAAGCAGGGCTGCTGTGTAGAGGGACACCAGAACCGCGGGGTGAGCAGGCATTTGACCCACCACTTTGACTGAGTCTGCTCTCTCTGCACAGAGCGCTGACGTATTCAGGGGCGACTTAATGCACAGCCTTACCTGGGCTGAAGCCCAAAGGCCCTGATTAACTCAGGGCCTCAAGAGTGGCTGGCGTTGATACACTGCTATTTGTTTGTTTGTTCGTATCTTTTGTTTATCCACCTTATTTTTCACATGCTTTTTGAGCTATTGTGTTTCCCATTAAACGTCTCTGAGGCATTATGGGACAACATGCAGTTGCATTAAGAAATTATGGCAAGACCAGCAATGCTACAAGCATTAAAGGCACAGAGCTTCGGCAGACATGAGACTGTGGCTTCATAATGACTCCCTGAAAAAGCCCAGTTGTTGGCATTGACATCTGTGTCCATTAAATGCAACCAGGTGATAAACTGCCAGTTAAGCATCACTGTTTATTCCTAACAGACTCACTTTGACTTTTTTACACCATAGATTTTCTTTATAACTGGATACATTCTGCCCTCAGTAGTAGGCTAAGCATTTCGCTGAAAGTTAATTGCCTAACAGGCTATCGGTACAATAATAAACTACAGACTTCAAGTTCAAGCCTTTAAATAAAGTGTTAATTAAAACTGAGGCAGTAAAGAATTGGGAAGAACAAAGAATACATCAAACAAGAAACAATACAGTTCCACCAGTTACTAGTCTTTCATTTACCCTGTCCCAACCCAACTAAACCTCCTAGCCAAATGCTTTTCACACATTACATGCATTACATCTTGGTACAAAGCTGAGTACAGATTATCATATTAGATCATAGTAATGTACTTTATAAAATTTCAATTTAAAAATTGTGTAAGTGTAAACCTGCCAGACCACATCTCTGTGTTAGTGGAGAGCATTTTTAGATTGTTAAAATATGACACAAATGCCTGCCAAGTAGTATAAAACTTTAAATCAGTAAGGGGTGATTTTAATTTCCTATAACTGAAAAAAATGCATCATATCTATCATATCTATCACATCTATCTAATGCTCATGTAAATGTGCAGTGGAGGTTTCAGTTTCATGTTCGCCAGCATCACAGGAGCTATCTACAAGCTCAGTGTTAAAAGGGCACGTTGGCCACTTTGGTTTCTTTAAACTTCGCTATCAGACTTTTAACTTTCCTTTGACACTGCAGCCACAGTCTCCTACTGCCGTGTCCGACCCATTTCTGTTCGGAACACTGAGCAGTTGCAATCAGTGCCTACTAATGTTGTTTGTACAGAAATGTTTACGAGGTCTGTTAGCTCACTATCCCCCACTCAAATCCTCCCTCACTCTTGCTGTCCATCTTCCTTTCTCTGCAGCACAAAATTATGACAAATGTTGAGCTGGATTAACGTAAAAGTCACATTAGATCTGATCTGACTGTTCAGACTGAGTTGCATAGATATCGGATTTGAGTACCACATATGAAAATGTTTTCTGCTGTTCACACTGCCACACAGTTAACTGTGTCACATATGAAGAAAGGGTCAGATTTTGGCCACTTTTACCTGTTGTGTGAACGTAGCCTTGGTTGCTATTGAGCATTTAGGATATAAAATGAACTTCTGTGCTAAGCTGTGAGTTTGTGAACTTGGAACTGAAAAATCCTTCCTAGTGAATGTAAAAACCATAACTTACATTTAAAGTTCTGAAGGTTTTTGCCCTGACTTACAAGTTACTATTTGGAGATCTATTTTTCGTTGTTTTTTTGAGAGACGACAACGTATTTAAAAATGCCAGCTGCCCACTTCATGATGAATGGCCCAATAGAAATGATCTAAAATCTCTTTACATTAGCATATAATACACTTAATTAGCATATAGCAATTAGCTATTATACAGCTAATTACATTATAGCTATATTAATTATATGCTAATGTATATAGCTATATTATAAATATAGCTATATACATAAGCATATAATACCTAACTAGCATGTAATATATTAGAATACTTTCTGTTTCTCCAGGACAGTTACAATTTTGAAGATACAATTCTTGTTTTTGTGCTTAGTACAAGAACTATGGTTTATTAAGTGTAGTTGCTGCAATTAAGCATTTAGCAAGTTTGTTTTCAACCTTGCCATCAAATTTGAAAGGTATATTCTTTTTCAGCACCACTGTGAGCCTCAGGAAGTTGTTAAAATGAAGTGTTAAGTACTAAATAAGTATAAAAGAACTGGAGTCACATACATGGATAGAAGTTGTATGTGGCAGTGACGCAGGCATTCTGGTCATAGCCACACATTTGTGGGCTTGGAAAACATCCTTCACCAGCCAATTCAATGCAGTTGTAGCACTGCAGTGCTGAACCTGCAATACCATGAGCAACATTCTGTTGAGCGGTGTGCACACATCAACACTGACTTTCATCATTACGTCCAGTTTAGAAACAACAGCCACTTCTTAAACAAACAGTGTTTACTCTGAGAACCCCATCATTTTATCACACCTGACACTACAGCGATTATTACACAACAAAGGGAAGTTTATGGGAGATTGCAGGTAGAGCATGCAACATGTCGTGACTACGTTAGATTGTTTTTACATAACCTGGATCCAAATGTCTTTAAAGTCACTCACCACTCACAAAAACCAGGGGAAGAACCAAAGTCACAAGCAGGGCCTTCATTATTCTGTACAATTAAGAGAGAAATTTGTTAAAACTCTCACTTACATCAAGAAATTTGAGCAGAATTGTTACAAAAATCCTCTCACGGCTACTTAAAGCTAAGTAACAGCTAAACAGTTTCTGCTTTGTTACCTTTCAACATACAGTATCTATACCATATGTTATGCTCAAACAGCCCTGCTAGGAAAACCAGCCAGATCAGCATATGTTGTATTTTGGAGGCTGGTGTGATGGTCAGCCAGCTTGGAGTTCATACTGGTCTTTGCTGGTTTTCTCAGCAGGGAAGTAACTTCCTAAATAAAAACTGCTTATTTCTCTACATTTGGTTTATGCATTGCTGCATTACTGCTCTAAATATCAACAAAGTCATAATGCTACATATCAAGTTTCCTATGACAAGTACGATAGAGCCTGTTGCTATGACTACTGACACTCATTACAATAGTCAGTATGGCAGTTTTATCCTGAGACAGCTTACCTCTGAAGTGGTGTAACACCAAGTATAGTTGTTCCTAAGACAAAGTCCATCCTTTATATACCTGTTTTAAATCATATCATACTCCTGTAAGCCACTTCTTACCTGAGACTCGATAACACTGTTTGTTCATTGTTTGACCTTGAAGTTTGTTGTTAGCTCTGTCTGATATCTTACAGTTGGCACTGTTGCTATTTCCTCTGTTTCTATGCTGTTTTCTATGCTGTGCTTCTAATACTGTGACATTGAATCAGGGCCAGTTCCCCTCTTCCTTGTGTACAACCCCTATATCACAGTACACAGCAGCGTCATACTGTAAAAGTCATGCATCAGTTGCTTATTTTGATCAAACTCTGTAGACGTCAGTAACTGAAGGTTGCCCCTTCTGACCGAATTCAGATGTCAGAAGAAATCTCCTAGAGGTGACACAGCCCATGATGTGTTTATGCATGAATGTTCAGCACAATGTTCACAGCCTGATACATATTATTAAAGAGAGCCTAATAAGCTCAAGCTTGTGTACCTTAATGTACCATAATACACCATACCATAGTATACCATAGTATACTGTGTACAGTAATGTGCCATATATTAGTATGTACATTGTCTTTAGTTACTGTTTCAGATCGCTTCAGTTGTGCAAACACACTGCCTGAGCTTATTCTTTAGATTACACATTGTACATGCACTAAACTGACAGTAATTAAAGCTTGAAGCAAAATATACACATTACATTTACTGTACTGTGCAAAGGAGACCAGTGTTTATTTAATTTCTAGTCAAAACTGACATTAAGTACAAATTATTAATTTTGCATATACATATTTAACAGACATTACACAAAATCCTCAGCAACTGAATATCTTATTTTTCAGTATTAATTGTCCACTTATTATGTTTATTACAGCCTCCATTCTTTTCAGGAGACTTTTTTACAGTTTTTAAAGGAAATCTGAAGGGATGTTGTTTCCACACCTACAAAATTTAGTCTTAGAAGTCTTTTAAGTGTTTTTTCACTTTGATTTCCCTCTTCCTTGGATTATATATACCTAATCTCCTCAGAAGTATCTTAGAAAATAAATAACTTGTACTTAATCAGTGTTTTGACTGGAAATTCAAAAAATGAAGACTAGTCTCTGACTTTGGTGCAGTACTGAAGCTGAAACCTTTTTGCATTGTTAACAACGTTTTCAACAAGGATGCCACACATTAAGACTGACGCCAAGACAAATAGCATTGTCTGCTAACGAAAATTGCCTGCTCATCTGATCACCCTTGTCATTAAATCACAAATCAATCTCATTATGTTTTCAGTCTAGTCATATTCAGGAAGTGGGTAATGTGCAAGGCGAAATTACAGAGGTCACTTTGACAGCATCGGGCACTGATGTAACGGTTACCCTGCAGGATGAAGCAGTCAGACATAGTGATGCATCTCTGGAAACTGTGATCTAAAGAGATAAAGTTAGAGAGAGCATTTCAACATCAACAGCGTATTAATAGTCATTACAGTCATATTAACATAAACACTAATGTCAATTTTTAAAACTTGCCCAATTGTGAAGTAATTATATGCCATGATATTTCAAATCATATTGTTTTCTCAGTGTCTGTGCGAGCTTCAGGAACTTTTACAGTTGTGTGACAATAAAAATGCATGGTGAAAAAAAGCTTTCGAGTCACTCAACAGTAATTTTAAAGCAAAACTATGAACGTTTTGGGGATTTGGAGACCTCTCTGGTGGAACTATGTAATTGCATGCAATGTGCAGAAGAACATATTGCAACATCAGACATTTACAGACATTTGCGTGTGCACTGAAAGAGTATTCGAAGAAAACTTGGTGAAGGTCGTGTCTTCTGAGGCTGTAAGTGAATTATCTACCATTGTCATCATATCTTTGTCAGTATAATGATGATTTTGCATTTGAGACTTAAACATCAAGTCAGACCTTCTTTTCGAACCTGTGCGAGTGACGTTAATACATAAAGACTTATGACATGGTCTGAAAACCTCCCACTCCAAATCCCTCCCGACGCCTCTGACTTTCACAAGATTACTTCAGGATTTGCAGGGCGACCCACAGCGGCACACACTCACCATATTTTAGTGTGTTCTCTTTTTCTATACAGAACAATGCATTGCTAGACACAGCATTTCCGCAAAATTTGCCCCAACCTTGCACTCTGAAAACAATGATTCTTCAAGGGTTCTAGAGTAAAAGCAGTGGTTCTGTAAAGAACTATGAACACTCAAAGAACCATTTCAATGGATAAATGTTTCTTTGCATGGTCAGATGGTTCATTCCATGATGGAAAACCAGTTGTATATGGTTCTTTAAAGAACCGTTTGAAAATAGTTCTATATAGCAGGGTTTCTCAACCTGTGGACCGTGGACCACCAGTGGGCCGTGAAGCATCCTCTAGGTGTTCTCAGGTGGAGGCAGTAGTTCGTAGTGGGTCAGTAACGTCACTGTAAGTCATAAAAACATAAGTGGGAAAAAGATTAACTTGGGCCTAATAATTAAAAATCAAAGAATCATACAAAATTATAACCAATATGAATATTAACAGAGACATATTTATAAAAACATTGCAATCGCAGAATAATTAAACGTCATCAGTTTGAGACACGGCCGGCGCGCAGTGCACACGGAGATGGAGAGGTTCCTCAGGGTGTTTCTCCTACCTTGTTCGGTGCGGACATGTCAAACTTTTTGCTTTAGTTTGCTCCGTTTTGACATGTGTGGACACTCCACCCATACTCGGGTCTGCATCACACAGCTAAACCGGTCCGGCAAAACCCGCAGGTCTTGGTCCGCTTCCAACCGAACGCTGTTTAGTTCACCGTTGGTGTGAACGCATTTTATGATCAGACGAGGGAATTTGTAAATAGAGCCTCCTTTCTTCTAGCAGGACATCAGCACTGCACTGTCAGTATAAACTGCCTGTTTTAGCATCTGACTCTTTGCAGACTCTCATCTCGAGCTGCAGCTGATAAAAACAACAGACGAGCCTTAAAATAATCGTAAGACCTGTGTTTGATTTTTGTCCGAGCATTAGTGACCTGAGTAGTTAAACTCAGCTTGATAAAATAATGACAAAGAAGCAGATATCAAGTAAGATTTATTATTATTATTGATTGTGATTGTTTTTCTGTTTTCCCCCTTTTTTGACTTCTCTGCAAACGTATGTTTTTTTAAACAAAACTGCAAAGTTTGGTTTCTGTGATTGAACTGAAATAGACGATATGATTCTGATTCACAGTTTTTCAGTGTGAGCAATTAAGAAAAAAAAGCTATTTAAAAGAAGTTTTTTCTTTGGGCTGCTATACTTTACAGTTATAAACAGGTGGGCCTTGGAGTGAAAAAGGTTGAGAACCCCTTCTATATAGCATCAAAAAGGAGTCAAAGAACCCTTCTACAGTACTATGTAGAACTCTTTTTCGCCAAGAATGTGCATGTTGTCTACTCCTTCTTCTGGTAAATATGAAAGGAAGTTTGATTTGTTTTACCAATTCTTTCAAAATGTTTGTGTGCAGAATTAGACTTTGTACGTGAGTTTAAGCTTCAAAAGAAACATGGATCTGTTTAACAATTAATATTGATGATGATGTCACTAAACTTATCTGACTAGGTCAACAGATATATAGCCAACAGGTTAACAGGCTCCTCCAATAATATTAGACAACTTCTTTGTAGCCAGCATGGATATTCAGCTGACGATTTTACAAGGAAAGAGTTTTCTAATTTTTGGGGGACATGTACAGGGGAGACGGTGAATCTGGCAGAGATGCAGGCACTCTTGCTAAAGTCACATGTTTCCTTGGTTGTAGAACATCCTGCCACAATGCAGTTGTAACACTGCAGTGTAGAACCTGCAACATGATGGACAAACTTGAGTAAGATTCTGTTGGACTGTATATATGGATCATCATACAGCTGCAGTGGCAACACTGAAGCCATGAAAATGATCTCCAAATAAGACTAAACCGCAGAAGACTGATGGGTGTGTGTTTGTTCTATTCCCAGATTAACCAAACATCCTGATAATTCTTCTTTTTGAATTTTTATTTTAGTGATGAAAAACAGCTTGTGATTTCAACAATGACTTTGTAGCTCCTGATTAATTGATATAATATGCTTTAAAATGTATTGTCCCATATGAAAATACTTTATGAATATAAATATAATTTTATTTTCATAATAAATCTGAAAAACATCTTAATATAACATAATATAAGAGGTATAAGCAAACAGTTTGGGTCAGTGGTGCTACCCATGCAAAAAAGAGTGAGTTTACAATGCAAATAAAAGCATGAATGCAATATTTTGGAGTTTCTATATAGCATATGTGCAACATCCTGTCCTGCCCTGTCCTTCTCTTTCTCTGTTCCATGTGCTCTTGTTTACGTAGGCCATGTGCTTTTGTTGTTGTTTTGGTCTTTTTCTTCTCCCCATTCCTGCCTTCTTGTTGTCTGTCTCACCTGGCTGTAGTTTATAGCCCCGCCTCCTTATTAGTCTCAGGTGTTTCTTGTTTCCCGTCAGTGTATTTATATCCCTGTGTTTGCGCTGACCCTGCATCTTGCATTGCTTGATGTTGACATTCTTGTGGGCCCTTCATTTGTTCTTCTTCACCTCGTTACAGTATAACTGAAATTAAAATAGCAGAAGACTCTATTTTAGAAAAGCACCACTTTGAGTCACTTTTGTCAGTGGTATTATAGCTTTACTGATAACACCACTGACTCAATTACACTAGGACAATGCTGTTGGTCTAAACATATTTTGACTGTTGATGCTTTACTCCTGTTTTATTTTATGACTTTCAGAAACTATGGCCTGTGTAGGTACTGCTGTATGGCAGCATCTTTCCAGACAGGGGTTTATAACTGATGGTACGGAGGTGAAAGCACAGGCAAAATCACAAAGTTTGTCATTCATTGATTTAATGGAATAACTATGTGTTTAACATGTCTGCTTTTATCACTGAAGAATAAAGCTGAGTGCCTTTTAATCCCTGTTCACCACTGCAATAGTAGAATGACCTTTTCACGTCACTGCTGG